TTCCCATTGGTTTTTGGGTTTCCTCGGCGTGACAAGGTGACAGCTGCAACGCACGTGACGCTCGACTTTGAGAGGGAGCCGGACCTTGACGAGGCAAAGGATGATGCATCAGAGTCAATTCCAAGAAGGGGATGTGGCTATGGTTTCTTTAAGAGCTGGAATCGCCTCAAAAGTGGTTGGTGGACATGGATCCTAGACAGGGTTGTGGGATCACTCGGGGTTTATCCCCACTTCTGTTATACAAGAGGATCTCCCCCTTTATATGCGGGGTTAGTGTTGGAGAAGCCCTTTCTGTTATATCACAGAAGTGGTCATTTCCCGCAGCCCTAATCCTAGATGATGTGACCCATTAAAAATCACACCCAAATGGGAACGTGGAACCTCTCTTCTGGGCGTCACTCAAACTATTATCCAAACATGAGAACACAATGCATGGCAAGGTTTCGCACACCTCATTCCCTCTACCCCTCAATTTCCAGGGATTTGGCTGTCAGATTACAGGAGTGCTTGCCTGTTGAGTCGGCGAACTTTGACTCAACGCTTCATTGGCAAGAAAGATTGAATTCACGAGGCCGAAAAGCCGTTTTTGTTTCACTCGAATTGCTCGTGTCACGCTAAAACGGCCCGAGGAGATCCGAAGGTTCCGACCAACCGTTGGACCCTTTCCATGAGAAGCCATCTCTGACTAGTGACACGGCCATCAAATGATGGGAGCACTTGGTGCTCGATTAAAGTCAAATAAAAAAGACAAAAAACAAACAAACAACGATCTGAGTTGTAGGGCAAAATATCATGAACCATGAGGCATGAATGAGGCGTCCTACCATGTACTTATACGACTTATACATTTAAGTACATATATATATATATATATACATATATAGATACACTAAAAAATATGTGTGTGTATACATGTGGAATCATTCCGCTGTTGATTTACTGTCTTTGCCATGGGAGTGTATGAATTGTTCGTCCTTAGTGTTCTGTTTGATCTCGGTTCTCTTCATTGGCTGCCTTTGACGGGGCGGACGTTGAGGACGTGTTGGGGTCACCGTTGGCAGGCGTTGCTTCGGAGATACTTTTGCAAAGAGCCGGGCAGCCCAGCGCTGCAACTCTGGGTGTGTCGTTCTTGTCTCAGTTCCCGAATTCCCTGGATTTTAGACGTTTTTGGGAAGACCCGTTTGGTGGCAAATATCAAGTTTGAACCTTTTTGTTGGCCAGTCCACTCAGGAAGCGAGTTGTTGAGGGTAGCCGTTTTTGGGGTGGTTTCAAAAACAACCAAGAGGATAGCAGAATTTTACGGGGTCCGATTCCTCAAGAAAGATGAGCCCGCGTGCATGTTCTTCCGAAAAGGGGGTCTGTCAATTTTGGAGCCTCCGATTCTTTGTGGGATCAACAAAGGGTCAAGACATCCGCTTGAGCAGTCTCACTGTGGATGGACAGAATCCAGCAACACTTTGAAACCATGGGAAGCCATTGTTTTTCGGTATTTACAGGCGAATCATCATACAAGGGTTTCATTAGTTGGTGCAAAATGGATTTCGTCCATCCACTGGATGTGTCCCAAAGGTTCCTTTTGGTTCCCTCTAATTTCAATTCAAGTGCTTTTCGCTCTCTCACAAGACTACTTCCTCTTTGAACTGGGGGTACCGACATGTATTTGGAACGTATTAGTACATCAGAGTGATGTAAGGGTGTACATTTGGGGCATGTAGAGAATGTGTTTCTCCTCAGAGGCCAAAGTTTTGGTTTTCGATCAAGGTTGGAGGTCAGTTTTGTACATAGTATCTTGTTTTGTCATTTCGTGTGCTGGCCATTCTGGGGATTATTCCTTGCCCTTTGTTCATTGCATTTCCCTTTTTTTCATGGTGTTTCTTGGTTTCCCTGATGTATGCACAAATGATGGCGAGCTCGCCTCTGGGGGGAGGGGGGTCAAGTTTCGCCTTATCGAACAAAAGAAGTTAGCCAGTCTTGTCATGAGTGTTATGCACATGGACCCCCTATCGTGGCTGCCTTTGCCTGCGACATCCACTGCTACTCACCATGCTTAGCTGGTTGGGGTTAGCAGAATGGTTGGTAACCTCGCTCAATCTGCGTTGTAAATCCACTCATTAGGTTGGGTATGTGTTTTGTAGGGGTTCTTTCCATTTTGGTGCGAAAACCTTTTTGCAAGCTTTGTGAGGTCCGCATCCCAATCTATTTTCACACACCGGATCCGCGCCCCGAGGGTCCAAAAGTTCCACCCGGACACCCGCGACCCCTGAGAGTGATGCCCGACATCCGCGCGCGGACGCGGAGAGGGGGCGGTCGGGTGATCGATCTTCGTCGAAAGTTACGCTCCCAGTAGAACCAAAGAAACCAATCCGTCAGAACCAACCAACTTATTTGAAACTAAGCCTCTGGGGTGGTTCAAGCATCCTTTAGTTTGGTCCCAACTGTATTTTACCGTGGGTATTCTTTCAATACCGGACCATTTCTCCTTTTTGGATAGCAACACCACCTTTTGGCGCCTTTGAGAGGGACAATCCTTTTGAGGTATATGCCTAACGCGAGCGATTGGCACAGCTTCAAAGTGGTAGTGGATACCACCCGCAAGATGGGAGTTCTTTGAGAAACCCGTAACATTCGATTTCGAAGATCGAGTTCCATCGAATTCGCGGTTGGCCAAAGCGACGGCCGGCGTTCAGTGCAGCTCTGAAAGTGGATGCTCATGGTGCCCGCGGATGCGCGCAGCTCAATCAGAACTCGGGTGAAGGAGGTAGCCTGCTTCGTGTTTGATCCATGTACTTGGGTCCCAGCCACACCCTTAGCCTGAGCTTTAGAGTATGGAGGTTTTATGACAGCAACAGCCAACATGGGGCGCACACCTTCTCAAGCTTCATAGGGAAAATCGGGTTCTTGGAGTTCCAAGATCTTTGGACACAAATGGCTGTGGGTCAAAACCAATGGCACCATTTCGGTTTCACTGGGGGTACAATTTGGATTTTGACCCATGGCCAAATATCGAGGGCTCACATATCTCAGATCATGTTTCAGGCGAAGGACTCGCACAAAGTTTGGTTGGCGCCACCTGCAATCCGCTCGAGCCGAAGCCGCTTCCGAAGCGCCCGCCGGGGTGCCGCGGCAAGGCTCCCGGACGCCGAGGTTCAGCTGGACCAATTTGGAGGGAGCTGAGGAAACCCCCAAAAGATCGGACGGTTTCAAGCTGGGTGCGCGGGAAGCACCTAATCCTAACTTTTCCCCCAGGGCGACTCAGTCTGGAGCAACTCCCTGGCACTGATTGTAATACCCCCTGACACGCCAAAACACACGAGCCTGCGTGTCTTCTTAGATGTGCAGCCGCTTGAAAAATGTGTTTTTGGTGCTTGGGCCCTCAGATCCACGGGGCTTTGGCCAAGCGATGTGCCAGGCAGCCACCCCCGGCGTGTGGTCATATTCGGTTCGTTGTGCTTGGCCAACAGAAGTGCACAAAGCTCAAGAAGATGGGAGGTCCCCATTGTTTTTTCATGGGTATCCGCCCTGGAACTTCCAAGTGTATTCGTGTGTCCGTTGCTTGTATCTAGCAATTCCAAGAATGTCCAGCCAGGGATAGAGTCATGTGGGGTGTCGTCTTCGCACAAGCACCGGACTCACGAAACAGTACCCTGGGGGTCAAACCACCATGAGAACAATGGGAGTTCATATAACCACCTTATTTACCTAAGGATTGTCACCTAAATTGGGTAAACCTTTCTTTTATTGGGGGTTGAACCCCAGGGAATAGAGCAGGTTTTCGACCGTATTTGTTTCCTCTGACCGAGAAATCGGAGCCGAGCCTCGGTGGAGTGGTTTTCTTCTGGGCCGCGAAAATTGAAAGGGGGCCCGGAGAGTTTCCCCGTTGCCCCAGCCGGGATCCGCAGGCTTCATTTTCAAGAAGGAAAGTAAGACGCGTGTTGTGGCCACGAGAAAAGGGTTTCGAACCAATATGGGTATGTTGTTTTGGTTGGAGATGCTTGTTTTTTGGTGGTTTCAAAGGAAAGCCAAAAAGCCGTTTCTTTTTTTTGGGGGGGGAAGGTCCGCGTGAGAAATACATCCCCATATTGCAGAGAGGGGTATTTGAAGAAGATGCTTGGATTCGCGTGCGAATCTCGCAGGGGCACGCCCGTGCCACTGAGTGGCAGGGAGTGGAGCTGCGGAAAGAAAAGTTCTCGTGAGTCGCCGATGCAGGAAACGAGCTCAGGGCACGGAGCTGCATGGCTCCATCAGTTTCTGCTAGGCCCTTGAAACCCGCATGTTGCGGTGTTCTTCTCGGCTTTGGAGGATTCCCTTGCAAAGCAGCTTGCTTTTGGATGTAGCCGCTAATTCGGAACCCTGGCCAAGGCCTGGTTCCGAGATGGGCGGCCAGCGGTTCTGGGGTGGGGGGGGAGTTAGGATTGTTGGAAGGCTGCTGAAGTGTCCTACGAGTTTCCAAGGGCAAGCGCGTTTCTGTTTTGGTTTGAAAGATGTTTCAAGCCAGGTTCCGAATCAGCCTCCCCTATAGATGTCCCAAAAGTTGTTGGGTTTCCAGGGGTGAGCGAGCCTTGATGCGGAGCCCGAAAGAGCCAAGCTTATCCACCAGACCTGACCCCAGGCAAGTTTCCGGGCATTTGGAGCCCCAACGGTGGTTGTTGCTTCTTTGCCAGGGAGCAAGACAGAAATTTGGCTGGTGCGAAACAAACATGTTTAGATGGAAATGCCATCTGACCCGTAAAAAGAGCAGAGGTGTTGCATTCCACTGGCAATAACGTCCGGTTGGTAGTCCAAGGTTGGGCAGATTTTGCGTAGCTACAAACAGACCCTGGTTCCCTGTAAGGGAAACCTAAAAGGAAGTTGTTCAAGAAATGGCTCAGGCCAGTTTCGAACTAGCAACCCTGGTGTCAAAGAGGACCTCTAAACCGATGAGTTTTCTCTTTGGTTTCCCCCAAAAGACATGCTCCACCCAGACCCAAAAGCCAGGAAGAAGGCAAGAAAACGCTCCGCAGGAGGTTTCGGCGCCGCAACCTGTGAACGGCTGGAACAGCGCTGGCTCCCCAGAGAGTTGGCTTGCATGGTTTTCCTTTGGTTTCCCTTGAAAGCCGAACTCCCCCAACAAAAAGAATGATGGGAGGTCGCTTGGTTTCCGTTGAAAGCCGACCCTCCAAAAAGAAAAATGGGTTCTCCTCTGACCTTGTCTCAGGGAAGAGGGCTTGATTGGTGTTCAGGTACTGCATGGGTTTGCAAAGAAAGGCAACGCCACCGCCGTCTCAAAACCAAATTGTGTTTAGAAAGTTCCTGGTTCGATCGCGGGTTCAATCCTGGACGATTATGGAGTGAGCTGGAAGGGAATCGCCTATGTGGATGGTTCATGAGGGTTCATTCCAATGAGGTAGTTGGCAAGAAGCATGGGCCCCCCTATATTTTTGGAGAAGCTGCCTGACTGATTGATTGTCCTTGAAAACCAAACAAGTCCCCCCCCCAAAGAAAAAAGGAGAGAAAAACAAAGGAGAAACAGAAGGGCACAGCCGCATCTTCTCAGCCATCTTGTTTGCACTTCTGCGGCCTTCCGTTAGGGTGTCCCTGAGATGAAACTTGAAAGGAAACCCATCCAATTTCCCAAAAAGAAACTTCCTTTCAAAGAGGATAGTTCCATGCTGGAGATCGGTTTTTGCAAGTTCCATGGTGGGGGGTGTGCTTTTTTCTCAGAGTTTCCTTTTGGTGAGGGAAGCCAAAACCAGAGCACGAAGCCATGTTCCCCTTTGACATATCCGTGAAACCAGCGATTGGGGCCTTGGCCTGGGATGGGTGGGTTCCCTTTTGTCCGCTTTGGGAACTATGGCAAGTGGCGCGCACTTTTCTAGGGGTTGATTTCCATTCCCAACCCAGCAGGTTCCTCATTCTGTAGCTTAAAAAAAGAAGAAGAAAAAAAAACCTATTTGTTTTCGACTGGTTGATTCCCTTTCCATTGTTTTCAACCATGGTTCTTTTCAAGAACTAGCCGTTTTTGCCAGGGTTTTGGGTGGTCTTTTGGAAAGAAGGATGCCTGGAAAGAATAGGGAAGGTACCCCTAGAAATTTGCTCAGAATGAATGACGGAACAACCGGAGGGAACGGGGAACGGGGAATCAAATTATGAATGATATTGAACTGCTGGAGGGAACGGGGAACGGGGAAATCTTCTCGTGAAAATCGCCGTGAGAGACCCCCTGGTTGCTCATCTTGCAACATGGATTTGGAGCAAAGTAGCTGGTGCTTGCGGAATGGGTCCGTTTGATTTCTCTTTAAGCAAACCTCAAAATATGTTCCAACCCCACCCTCCTGCAAATTCGTATGGACCCCAAAGCCAAAAATATCCTTCTGGACCTTTTTGGGGTTGCGTGTAAATCTGCAGAACATCTTCATGGGGGCTCCAAGCCGATCACAACACAAGGCCCACAGTTGAATTGAAAATAGGTTGTGATCGTATTTTTGTGCACCTGATTTCCCTCGATTGTTGAAGCCCCTGTTTGTTGTTGTTTTCTGTCCCTTCCATATTGTTGAAGCCAACCGATTTTCCTGTTGTTGGGTTTCCCTTGATTTCCCAAACCATATTGCTAAGTTTCTGGTGCCGATCGGCAACCCAAAGGTTTGCTGTTTTTTCAAGAAGACCTTATAACTTATACCTACTTCAGAGGCCAGGACAGATGTCCAACCATTTTGAGTCTTTGACCTGTCTGCTGCCAGCCAAATCCTCTTCACCCTTATGTGATGTGTTGCATACTGGATGAACGAAGTCCCTTCACATCACTTCGTGAGCATGAGAATGAAGCCATAGCGGTTGGTTCATTTACGCCCGGGAGTCGAAGATCGTTCTCTTGAGGTGGGGCTCAAGCGTCGGGAGCCCAAGACGGGCCCCTCCTTTTGGTTGGAGTTGGCGGCCAGCGCTGCTTGAAAGGCAGCATGTCTTAAGGGGAAATACCGTGGATGGACGAAATCCTGCACCACTTGGAAACCATGGGAAAACAGTATTTGTTGGTATTTATAGGGGAATGAACAGAAACCAGGCTTTCTTAGGTGGTGCAGGATTTCGTCCATCCACAGTATGGGGAACCCTGCTTTTGGGTGAAGTGAACATTACCTTTTGGGTCCATTCTAAAATGTGATTTTTGTTTGAGTGATAATGACAGAGGGGACATGGGAGAACCCGGAAACTCCGCCCTCCTTGGGCGGCAACAGTTGCAGCACAGGGGTTCCTGCATTCATTTCTGCTGAACCTCAGCCTTTGGTAAAGCTGGCACTACAGTGGCACTCCGCAAATCATCCCAGCCTGCTTAGTCTACGCCGCTCGCTTCAACCAGGATTGGACATGGCAAAACACCAAATAGAAAAGGGTTCTCGAGGCCATGAGGGTCTAAGGTCCGGCTCTTAGGGGAAGGCTCTTCCCCTCGTTTCCTCATGAGTTATGAGTTGGCGGCTCGGATTCGGACCATCAACTTGCTGCTCAGGGAATGAGGAAATGAACCCAGGGAATGGTCCCCTAAAAGGAAACCACGAGTTGGATGGTTTGTAGGGGTCATTCCAATTCTCATTCCCTGCCTATCGCACCAGCAAAACAAGTTGTCCTCGTATGTCCTCGTCGTCTTCTTGGTGTCCCTTTAATCCAACCCCAAAAAGAGGCAGCCTGAGAAAGGCGCAGAAACTGACTGACTAGCCGACCGATTCACTGACCGACTGAAACTGACTGACTGACTCCGACTATCTCGAAAGCAGGCAGGCAGGCACGCAAGCGAGCAAGCAAGCCAACAGCCAGGCCCTCTGAGCCACACCGTCGCTGAGGCTCGGATTCCGGAAGCTGGGATGGGCAAGGTTCAGCTGGGCTCTCGTGCAAATGTGTTTTTTTCTGTTCTGATACAACACATTGGGTTTGTCTCAAAATGGAGGAAAGGTATGGAAAGGTATGGAAAGGCATAGATTGCCGGTGTCGTTTTTGAGTTCCTTTGCAAACCCAAATTAAGGGTCGCTCAAAGAGGACAGCCATGAAACAGAATCTGACAACCCCCAAGAATGGCTAAGGGCCTAGGGTCATTGGCCTGGGTTTCTTTGGAACATTGCATTTGGCTGAAGGAGTCCCGGCCTAAAATCCGAACCCTTCATCAGCCCTCAGTTTGAGATAGTCACTTTGGACCGTTGGAAATGCCAAGATATCTTGTGGCTGGAATCTTACTGGCAGGAGATGTGTGCAAGTCTGGTAGGAAATGGGCCTGACAAATTTTGGATGACCTTGACGAATTGGCGCTTGAAGCGGTTTGAACATAAGCCGGCGGCAAGTGACCGGGCCTGAGCAGCTTGGTTTAGGATGGGGCAAGGGGCGGCGGCCTACACGAGCTGATGCTCAGAGTTGTTTTAAGCTCAAAAGGTGGCAACTGCAGGCAATTCTTCTGACCCCTTCTTCTGGATGTCTGACGTTTGCTGTTTTAGGGACTTGCATCCAGTCCTGGGTGGAGCGGGATTGAAGCCGACTTAGAAGTGGTTGCGCGCTAAACGACACAGAATGCATATTCGATCGCCTCAGGAAACGCAGGAGGACAGACGCCTTGTGCATCGCTCACCCAAGCAGCGCAGCACGCGTTTCCAACGCAAACTTGGACTCATGTTGGCTAGTTTGCCATAATAAGTGCAAGTGCGAGAGCTCTTGGGAAGACTTTTCTTTGACAAGGGCTTTGTGCTTGGATGCTTCATGACTCTCCCGCCGCAAGAGAGGTGCTCCCAAGCCCTGCTCACAATGGCGTTGCATGTGACTTTCCAGGAGTTCCCACGCACATACGTCAATATATAGAGTTAAGAAAAAGCAAAACCCGTCACAAAATGCAAAACCATTAGCTATGCTGACAAGAGTTGCTCACTGAGGGGTGTGCAACAGTCCTCACCTGCCTTGGCTGATTTTTGCCCTTGCAACCAACCAAAAGGGGATCTGATATCTGAGGAAACTCCCCCGTCTCATGCACCCACAGCCTTGAGGTTCCTGCGAGTGCAGACAGGCAGGGCGTGGGAAGAACGGCGGGAAACGAGTGTTGGCCTTTCGGTAGCCTCTGTTGCCATGAAACGCTTCTGATCGCCAAACCTCCATGGACAGGCGCATAGTTTTCTTCTGTAAAGTGGCATGCATATGAAGCCGTTCATGAGAGTAGCTGGCAGTTTTGCTCAGGGTATCCCGGCCTGTCTCCAACATGTCCGGATCTCACAGCGATGCAGGCAAGAGTTGGAGTGTGTCGCACCCCACAGTGACCCAAGTTCTTCTTTGTTTGCGGTCAGGCAGAGTTGTCCGTCTTCTAGTCTGTACCTGCTTGCTCGTACGCCTAAACCGAGGCCTGCGAAGCCCAAAGCGGCCAGACGCCCAGCAAAAGCGGAGAGGAAGAGTGCAGTGCTTCCTTTCGGAAAACCTCCTGGCCCTTTTTGTGGGCTGCTGTTCTTCCGAAAAGGAAGTAACCCGACCAAAAAACGGGCGCTTCGGGATCTCCTAGCTGAGCACATTCTCTCGTGCTTCGCAGCCTTGAGGTTCCTGCGAGTGCAGACAGGCAGGGCGTGGGAAGAACGGCGGGAAACGAGTGTTGGCCTTTCGGTAGCCTCTGTTGCCATGAAACGATTCCTATCGCCGAACCTCCGTGGACAGGTACATAGTATTCTTCTGCAAAGTGGCATGCATCACATGAAGCCGTTCATGCGAGCAGTTTTGCTCAGGCCCGTATCCAGGCCTGTCTCCAACATGTCCGGATCTCAGCAATGCAGGCAAGAGTTGGAGTGTGTCGCACCCCACAGTGACCCAAGTTCTTCTTTGTTTGCGGTCAGGCAGAGTTGTCCGTCTTCTAGTCTTTACCTGCTTGGGCGCACTTGACCAGTTCGCTTGCACTCAAGTGAGTGGCTTGCGTTCGCCTCAAACCGAGACCTGCGAAGCCCAAAGCGGCCAGACGCCCAGCAAAAACCAGTGAGGAAGAGTGCAGTGCTTCCTAGCATTCGGAAAAACCCCCCTGGCCCCTTTTAGCTGTTCTTCCGAAAAGGAAGTAACCCGACCAAAAAGGCGGGCGCTTCGGGATCTCCTAGATGAGCTCACACTCCCCTCTCGTGCTTCGCAGCCTTGAGGTTCCTGCGAGTGCAGACAGGCAGGGCGCGCAAAATCTGGCGGGAAACGAGCGTCAGCCTTTTCGGGCGCCTCCGTTGCCATGAAACGCTTCTTGCCGAACCTGTTCCATGGATCAGCGAAAGCCGTATGGCCAGTTTTGCGTTGGACGGAACCCGTATTGGGATCGTTTTTTCCCCCATATGGTCATGTTTCTGGCCGGTGGCCGTATCTGGCCGGACACAGCGCGTTTATGTTCAACAACATGTTTATGGCCATTTATTGTGGCCCATGCTGTATGGACAGAAGCAAAATATTACATTGGGTTTCCAGGAGGTTGCCCAGGAGGTTGCATAGTTTTCTTCTGTAAAGTGGCATGAATCATTGAAGCTGTTCATGCGATTAGCTTGCGTTTCGCTCAGGCCCGTATCCAGGCCTGTCTCCAACATGTCCGGATCTCACAGCGATGCAGGCAAGAGTTGGAGTGTGTCGCACCCCACAGTGACCCAAGTTCTTCTTTGTTTGCGGTCAGGCAGAGTTGTCCGTCTTCTAGTCTGTACCTGCTTGGGCTCACTTGACCAGTTCGCTTGCACTCACGTGAGTGGCCTGCGAGCGTACGCCTAAAACCTAGGCCTGCGAAGACCAAAGCGGCCAGACGCCCAGCAAAAACAGAGAGGAAGAGCGCAGAGCTTCCTAGTATTCTTAAATATATATATATATATAAAATGCTCGTTTTTGCGGGCTGTTCTTGAAGTAACCCGACCAAAAAGCGGATGCGTCCACCTTGCCGTGGCTGACTTCTCGTCCTTTTTTTCCAGCCAAAAAGGGATTTGCTAGAGGACACATCCCTCTCGTGCTTCGCAGCCTTGAGGTTCCTGCGAGTGCAGACAGGCAGGGCGTATGGCGGGAAAATGTCGGCCTTTTCGATTGCCAATGCACCAGAAAGCCTCTTCTTATCGCCAAACCTCCACGGATCAGGCTACAGGCAGTTTCCTTTAGAAAGTGGCCATCATATGAAGCTGTTCATGTGATTAGCTTGCGTTTCGCTCAGGCCCGTATCCAGGCCTGTCTCCACCATGTCCGGATCTCACAGCGGTGCAAGGGTTGGATTCCTTGTTTGTGGTCAGGCAGAGGTTTTGTCCGATTCTAGTGTTTACCTACTGAAGCCATGGTGAAAGCTGAGTTGGTTTGTTTTTGGCCCAATCCTGCAAGCGTACGCCCGAAAAGGCCTTCGAAGCCGAAAGCAGCCAGACTCCCAGCAAGAGCAGAGGCGAGGAGAGCAGTGCTGCCTAGCGTTCGGAAAAACAAGCTGGCCCTTTTTTCTGGCTGCTGTGTTTTTCCGAAAAGGACAGTAGCCCAAGCAATCAGCGAGCGCTTCCGCTTTTCAAGTGCCTTTTAAGAGCTTCCTGACTTTTGGCGTGACCTGCCTTGGCTGATTTCTCGCCCTCGCAACCAGCCCCAGCCCTCTCGTGCGCCCGCAGCCATGAGGTTCCTGCGAGTGGAGACAGGCAGGGCGTATGGCGGGAAACGAGGGTCGGCCTTTTCGGTAGCCAACGCACCGGAAAGCCATTTTCTTGTGGCCGAACGTGGTGCATAAATCGGGTTTGAGGCAGTCTCCTGACAAGTGGGGTGAGGGTGAGGGATCCCGGGATTTTGCTTGGCATTCCATGTGAGCTACCACTAAGACACTAAGAAGGTTGGTACAAGGGATATATGTAAGGGAGTGGAATAGGGTGAAGCCCCCAAAACCGAAGGCGTGTCTGCGACAGTCTGCTCGTTGTGCATGTGCCGGCCTTTGCAGCGCGCGATCAGGTCTTGAAAGGAAGGCCAGACGAAGCCTAAAACGAAGCTAGCTCTTTTGTACGAAGTTTGGTTTTGTGAATATTGGCTCCCCGGACACCCCTATGTGGCGTTCTTTTTCTGTCCACGCGGCTTGGGCCACGTCAAACAAATACGTGTTGCATACGGCCCAACACGGCGATTGGCCAGAAGAACACGACCATACAGGAATGATGATCCAGAAAAAATTGGCCGTACCGCTGTCCAGGTCGTTTGAATTGAGATGAGAAGTAACCAGAAGACTACGGGACAACTACACAGGAAGACTACGGCAAGACTACTGGAAGACTTCAGGAAGAGACTACAATGACAAGATTACATGACCAAACTTCCCAAAAACCAAGGCGAGTCTTTGAAACGAATGGATTGAGAGATATTCCGGTTTTGTACGGTTTGGCGGCGGCTCATGTGAATAGCCTGCAGTTTTGCTCAGGCCTGCATCCGGGCCTGTCTCCGTCACGCCTGGATCTCAATGCGTTGCGAGACTTTGAGTTGTTTCCTTTCGCATCGATTTCAAATTTCTCAAGTTCTCCTGGGCACCTGCTGTAGCTACTTTCCCTTTTGTTACATGATAAAACCCCGTCCAAACACTTCTCTTGGGCAGATTCGTGTTGAAAACCAAAAAAGGAAACTGGTTTCTTCCGGGCGCTCTCCCGCGATCGGGTGGAGCAGACCGACTTTTTTTTTCGCGAGGCAGCCGGAGGCCAGACCAGCTCCAAGGCTAGAGGGTCCTGCGAGCAAAACCTTGGGGATCCAGTTCTCGCTATTTGGCGATGAACTTTACTGCCCAGAGGCTCCTGCACCTTTCAATGCAAGACCCGACCCCTCCATTAGACACCCCGCTTCGGTGTTTGGGGGTCTCAAAAAACCCGGCTGTTTCAGGGCCCTACGTACATCAGGAGCGTCTGGGTGGGGAGCCACCTCGAAAGTGATTGGTGGGCATATCTAAATCCCCACCGAAGTCTGATGTCCACCCTTTGGTTCATACCCATTTCAGCGTTTGGAATTTGAGAATCTTTAAGCAAAACACGTTAAATCGTTTAAAGGCAGGGAGCTGTGTAACCATATTAACCAGGCTCCCGCCTGCTGCCGCCGACCCTCGGCGCATTAAGGGAAAAGTCACAAGGACCGGTCCTGAAACACGTCCGCAAACCCAGGGACCACTTATAAGATCCTCTACGACCACAAACAAGGATTAACGGAAAAGTCAGAAATATGGCAGCTAGTCCGTTAATTACCGCTTGGGCCGGCTTGCGCCCAAGTCACTTCGAGTTGGCCCGGGAGCAGTCGCCTGTCCCGGGGTCGCCCTGAAACTGGCCCTCCCTGGACCGGTCGCCGGCAGGGACCGGGACAGGCTGGTCCCAGTCTGGCGCGGTTTGACTCGACGTATTGGACTCTCTTGCAGAATAGATCCAGGGATCCTCTACTACCACAAGGATTAACGGAAAAGTCAGACAGATGGCAGCTCGTCCGTCAATAACCGCGTGGGCCGGTTTGTGCCGAAGTCACGTTGAGCTGTGCCCCTCAACCGCTTGCAGGGAGTGACTGGGACCGTCCAGTGTCCTGAAACACGGGTGCCAGTCCGGAAAGGTGTCTGGAGCGGTTTGAGGTGGCACCACAGCAGTTTGAAGTGGGACCCGATACCAGCGCTCACACCATCAGTCCTGAAAGCGGTCCTGGCCGACCAGTGCCAGGACCGGTCCCAGGACTGGTCCCAGGACCGGTCCTGGGACCGGTCCCAGGACCCCCGGGACCGGTCCAGGACCAAACCCCCATCCTACAAGTAATCTGAGGACTGGTCCCAGGACCGGTCCTGGGAATCCACTTTTTGTGCGTTCGGGCGTGCCCCCCAGGGACTATCATTGATTCCAATCACTTCCAGTTGCATCCCACGCCGGTCCCTCGTAGCTGACACGGGGAATCCCCTGTATTTCCTGTTTTGTTCACGGCCACTCCTCAAGTTGTAAGGAAGTCTTATCCGAGAGCACTTCCGCTTTCCAAGAAACTGTGAGTGCCTCTGAATTTGAACAGTCTATGCCTGCCTTGTCGTCGATTCTATTCTTGAGCCAGCCAAGCTGTATCTCGGGAATCACTCATATTTGCCGCTGCGTGGGGCATTTGAACAGCCAGGTGTTCCGAGGCACATAGCTCCTTTTCAGTCTGTGGTTGACCTTCCCCAAAATTTGAGTGGGTATTCGGAGATTTCGCAGGTCGTTAGTTCTGAAATCTCAAGATGAACCGAAAATGGCCGATTGTATGGGGTCTAAAATCAGTTCTGGTCGGCAGGTTTCCCTGAAACCACATAAAGGGAGGTCCCCAACACTCAAAAGATCCAAACGGCCCAGGTTCTTTGGAACCGTCTTCATGGTCACGGTCATACAAAGCTAGGAACACGGAAGTGAACATCGGCAGGTGACTGGGTTCTGGAAGGGCGCAGGCTCCGAAGACCAAAAACTCGGAAAGGGTATGAGTCTTGCTTTGGTTTCCCTAGCCGACCCGAAAAGGATCTGAGAGAGCGCACCTATTTGGGCCGCCAGCCGCTTTTTGTTTTCCTCCCCCGAGCAACCGGGACTGCTGGGCAGACCGGCCGACTGATGTCTCACTTTTGTGAGTCGGGAGCATCGCTCTTTGAGGCTGCACGTTTTACGTTTGTCTTACCAGGGAACCAGAGGGAGACCAGGAGCTTACTCTTGAAACCTTCCACTTTGAGTGGCAAACAGAAAGTTGAGCTTTCGGACAGTCAAGTGAGGTGGTTAACTCTGCTTGCCCATGGAAGGAAGGGCAGCAGCCATGGAAATTGGGTTACAAGCCTTGCTGGACGTCCTGAATCGTCCAGTAGCATCAAGAAATGAGCACTGGTCAGTATTTGCTATCTACGGCATGAACCAGACTGCACCAGAATACCAGTAGAAAATGCAGGTTCCCCAGAATCCCAAGAAGTGTCAGTTGGGGACACTGAACATTGACCGTGGCTCAAAGTGCTTTCCCCCTTCCAACCAGTGCATCCCAATTGGGTCCTCGTTCGAAATCGGCCCGAACGCCAGGCTTCGGGGCAGTGTCAGCAGGGTCACCAGGCGGTATCGCTCGGGAGAACCTGACAGGGGATCCCTTTAAAATGAAAATTGTTTTCCACAACCCCCCCCCGGTCAGGTTCCACGTTAATTGGTGGGAGAGTAACATCTAGCGCAGGAATATGAGAGTTGTTGTGCTCATGCCCAGAAAGGATATCAGCCAAGAGCCTTACTTGCCCAGCCATCGAGTCGGTGCTCCCGGACCATTGGGTTGCTGGCACCTGCAAATTACCAGGTACACTCCAGGTATAAAAACATATATATATATATACATATTCTGATGAAAACATGTGTTTTCATTAAGCAAATCTCCTTTTGGCCCCCCCCCCCATGTTAATTCATTGGGGAGTACTAGTGGCACCCCTTCCACTACTTTCAATGCGAACTGTCAGAAGTCATCCAAAATCATGGAAGTGGATGGTCCGAGAGTCTTGGATGACGACCATCATCCATGGTGGAAAGTTGAGTTCTTGGCTGGCCCTTCTTGTGATAGGACTGCAGTCATGGTTGAATAGCTTCAAATCAACCACGCTGTATCACAGAAGGCAACCATTTTCTGCCCGGGTTATCCTCAAAAAAGAAATGCGCCTACCCTAAGCCTTGGTCCGATCGATGGCTTTTCTGATGGCCCCCATTCCAACGACTCCTTCGAGACCCAAAAGAGCAAGTTCGGCAGACTCAACCAGGAATCCCCGGAGTGGCTGATTGGCCAGTTGACCGGAAACCCGGAAAGAGAAGCGCCGGCCGGCAAATGGAAAACCGAGAGAACACCCAGACCAGTTTTGGCTACTCTTTGGTTCCAATCGATTAACCTTCTGGAACATGACAAAATATTCCAGATAATGTGGAAGACAGATTTTACACACTACTCCGGAGGTCAATCAACCAGGTTTTCTGGATCATGCTCCAACACGAGCAGGTATTTGGAGTAGAGCCAAAAGGAACTTCCATGGTAAACTCATGTTGTTTTTCTTCATATAGTCAGGGGTTGACAAGTCATACCCCAAGAAAACATGGTTCTTGGAGATTGAGGGATAACACGTGCCCAGCAGCAACCTGCAACCAGTGACCCGAAAGGTTGTATACTGTTGGACCGAGCCTTTTTTGAGGCAGGACCATGTTTCCCTTCTAGGGCTACCTCTCCACACCGAGCTCTCGACATCTCATATTCTCGCGCGCCTTTTGCGCGGGAAACCATGGTAGCAAGGATTGCATCTAGATTTTTGGGGGAGGTCACAGGTTGAGATATCTCGCCATGGTGGTTTCCTTTGAGTTGTTGGTAGTTTGTGATGTCATTCTACTGGGTCTTCAACATGTCATATTTCAGGCCAAATATGAACCTGAAATTCTGAAAAGCACAACTTTTCTCTGTACCGTTTGGGCCAAATGGACCAGGCTACATATGGCTGTCTTAAAGAGCCGGAACCCTGACAATTGGAAACATGGACCAAGACCTGCGGTTTGCCCCCCTGTTTATTTAATTTTGAGCGCCCATATGAAGCATCCAAAAGAGATCCCGGGGCCAATTGGGGCCAATCGGCTCCGCCTCGCAGGTCCAGAACTCCGGCACCTCGCGCTGCGCGGGGATCTGAGGTTTACAAGCCCGCGCGTGCGGGCGCGAAGTGAGCTGGTGACCCCAGGTCTTCATCCACCTTTAAAAAGATGTGTGTGTGTATATATATATATATATACACATATATATATATATATATATATATATGGGCGGGGGGTGTCCATTTCTAGCTTCGGTGGATGGAATCAGACCGCTTGAGGGGAACACCCCCATATGAATAAACTGGGGTTGAGTAATATGGGGTCAACATTATATAGGTTTATGGGTCAAAACGAAACCAGGGGGACTGGCAGGGTTTTAATCGTTTCTGTTTTTTGTTGTTTTTTTAGATCAGCGTTCTGTGTGGTTTCGATTTGTGACCCGCACCCATATTTTAAAGAAGCAGGATAAACGTAGTAGGTATTGGGTCTTGGGTGTAGGGTAAATACTGTGGATGGAGGCAATCCACGCGCACCAGTTGGGATGGATGAACCCTCACTGAAATATTTCACCTACCAATCTGTTGCAGGACTTTGTCCGTTATATGTCCCCTCAACATCGCCCCACCAAATGAAGCTCACTTTGGCTGGGCAATCAAGCCGCGACATGGAACCATTTGGGGGTATGTGCTATATTTAGAAAACCCAGGGTGTCCAGGGGGACGAAAGCACCATGTTTTAGTCAGGGCATGACATGAGGAGTTTGATATGCGGGCATTTGGAGTAGGGACCCAAAACAACAAGACATGACCACCCCCTGCCCCCCCAAACAGAAAAAGCGGAGTTGTCTTTCAATCGGCCCAAATGTAAATGGTTCCTCTTTTCCTCTGGTTTCCTGAATCAAGTTTATCGAGCAATTTAGGGTATGAACCTATGAACCCATGCGAAGTCGATGTTGCACCTCTTGGCTGGCTTTCTGTACTTGAGCCGGAAAAGAGGCTTCATAGATTGGTCTATACATTCTTTCCCCCTCAATTACCAGCCTTTTTCGGGTGTTGTGTTCGACAACGTTGGTTTCATTGTACATCTACCTTGCTCTTTGTCAGGGGTCAAAGCCCGGTGTGGGGCTGTACTTTCATAAGGGGCCATTCACTTGAAGTGAGCGGAGGGATTGTTCTTTTCCCTGGCAAGTGTCCTTTGGGATAGAGTTGAATCACCTCTGGGCTTCAGATCTAGAAAGCCGAGACGAACCGTTTCCCCCAAGCGGATCCCCTCAATTTGCAGATGTGGACTACCCTGAACCGATCCCCTGGCCCGTTGCGCACTCCTTCAAGTACCTTACACTGAACAACTCTGCCACAGCTGGGTTAGATGTGGCTCCTATTTTGGATCTCTTGGTTTGCGAGGCCAATAGCCTGGCTTGCCCAATTCAGGCTAAGTTGCAGGTCTCGTCGGCATTTTCCAGGTCTGGGACCCTTTTGGAACCGGGCCTGTACAGTTCGGGGGCTAACTTCCGCCATCGCCCAGGTTCCTCAATCTCAGAATGGTCCAAACTAGGCGACTTCCAGCCAGTCATGTTTGCTTTGGGGGGCAGAGGTAACGATAGGGAAAAGCGAGGACGCGTGTCGCTTGAACCTGTGCAAGCTGTCTGAGGAGCGACCTGCCGCATCCCTGGGAGGAGCTCCGGTGCGGGCAACAGACGCCTGCTGTGTTTCTGATTGAGGGTACTTCTTATTATAATAATTGTTATTATTACTATTATTAGTATTGTTATTAATATTACTATTACTATTATTATTATTACTATTATTATTAGCGATCAACCAAACAGCAGCAGGGTTTTGGGCACCCGATGTGGGGCGAGTCGATGGCGCATCGTGTCCTTTGAGGAGACAGAACCTTGCGCTCAGGAGCACTGGAGCCAGGAGCACAACCTCACTTATTATTGGAACCCCGAGACGAGCGTCGCCCTTTGGGAAAAGCTGGGGCCCCAATCCTCTTTCGACTCTGCCTGAAAATGCCAGGGCCTCTGCCCATGGGAGAACGTGGATGTTTCACTGAAGGGGCTACAAGACAGGGTCATGTTTTCCCCAGACCCGCCAGATTTGGGGCAACAAACAATCGGAGGGTTGCGCTTTCTTCCAAAGGGGAGCGTTCTAAGTTGTAATCCAACTTTTGAAAGGCTCCTGACAACAACAAAATTCCAGGCCCTTGCCAGGTGCTATCAGGTGCTGATCGATGCTTTGACGAAAAGCAAAACCCCCAATTTAAAGCACAAAGCCGGTGGTTAAGATCGGGCCCTTGTCCCATATGCTAGAAAGTTATGTGTGTGACCATTTTTTGGGCACCCCACCAAAAAAATATGGTGTCCTTCTGGGTGTTCCTTTTTTAAGCCACCAGGGTGTTCCTTTTTTAAGCCACCAAAAAAGAGGTACCCTCAAAAGGACGGCCATTTGTGTGGAGACGCATATAGTTTTACATTGGGGCGGTCCGCCCTTTGCCTCGGGTGCTGAGCTTCCGAGGCCCTGACCAGCCGATCGAAAAAAGCGTTGCCCGCCCGCCTGTGGTTCCACCTGAGTCACAGTCAAAACCCGGGTAGATGAAGGTTAGTAAGGGACAATCCCAACCATAAATAGCTGCGGCCGCCTTCTTAATTCTTTACGTGGTTCTGGGTGAACCATTGGTGTACCGGGTTTTGATTGTGACTCACCTGAAAACCTCCAGAACGGTTGAGAAGCAAGCCACAGGCGCCGCGCGAATTTTCGAATTGGTTGGTTTGGGTTGCCCCTTTTCGGCGCGCAAGACGGGGATGAGCTTTTTGTTTGCCGTTTTTTTGTGCAGACCCAGAAGGGACCCAACTTGGCCTTGCCCAAAAACCTGCAGGATCTTGGGTCAAAGGCCATGAGATTGTGTTGGGCTGGGGGTTGGGACATGATTTCTCTCAACAAGTTGATGCCTGTGTGCAGGCAGTTTAAGCAGCCCAGTTTTTTGCGGGGTGCATGTAATTTCTCCCTTCAAGGCCGGCAAAAGCTTGCACCTTTGCATATCTTCCAACTGAACCTTCAGGTCGCAGTCTCGGTGTTTCCTCAAAATTTAGCGGAAGCTTGACGCTTCCCTTTTGGCCCGCTCAAAAGGAGGTCCAAGCCAAATCTAATGGGTGCCAGCCTGAGCGAAAGCTTGAAAGAAGAGTTGCAGGATAGACATTCGGACAGCCGCATTGGCTCAAGAAAACATGTGCAGCCTGAGTCCTTGCCCGAGCCCTCCAGACTTGCCCACGTGTTTCGGGTATGATGTCAATTGACAACTTTCCCGTGGGAAGAGTGGATGCTTCAAAAATTTTACGCCCCCAAAAGTTGAGGTGTTGGATGGACATGGGTGTTTCTTAACACACTTTAGACCCTTCCAGGTAGGTGGTTTCCCTTTGGTTTCCCCTTGGAGCGAACCACCCAGGGGCCTACTTTGAGCAACCTCCCGCTGGTCCCTGGAGATCAGTTCCGATCCGACTGTCTCGATCCGTGCGATCCGATGGGCGGCCTGGTGCCGAAAGCCAAGAAGATTAGCAAAGAGGAGGCAGGGGACGTCACCCCAGAAACCCATAGGTGACCTCATAGGCAAGACCCAGAGGTGACTTCATAGGCCAAACCCATAGCTGACCTCATAGGTTTAAAGCAACGAAACCAAAAGAAGAGACAGAATAACCAGAAGAGTGCTTTCTTTCTGGCTCCATTCCTTGTTTTCTAGGTTTCGCAGGCCGGTGATCTTGGGCAACACCAAGGTATCCCAAATTGTGCTTTCGGGCCGCCCCTGTTTGTTTTATTCCCCTTAAAACCAACCAAAAGGGTGCCTCAAAAAAAGCCAGCCACCATATCTTGGGGTCGACATCTGAGAATCTTTGACCAATGAACCACGCCAAGCCCCTGGAATAATTTTATTAGGTGCCTTGGAGTTGGTTCCCTTGGCGTGGCTTTTTGACAAAGGGAAAGCAAAGGGACGCCACCCATTTTCCAGGGGTCCACGTATTTTGGGACATGCTCAAAAATGTATATGTGTTCTGTTGGTGGTCTTAAGCATCACCTTTTGCGCCAATGTTCAGCGAGCGTCCTTTTGGTGACGTGTAAAGGGAAAGTACAGGGAGCCTTGAATACCCTTCAAGTTCATGCTTCTTTGGTGATCAATCAATGCCGACAATTGGATGGATGCACGTAAGGTTCAAAACGGTATTTGTGTTTTGGAGTTCGCTGCTCAAAACTCATGTCTTCTCACATGAGCCGACCATATCACTGGTCCATTCTGAGCCCGAAAAAGCCGGCAAATGACATGGGGGAACCGCGAAAAAAAGCGGCATTTGGGTATGGGTCAAAGAAGGCAATCACCAGGTGGCCGCAGGTTTTGGTCTGTTCCATTTGCCAGGGCAACCCATTTTGGATGCCTATTTTGACCAGCCATACGGGAAACCCCGGCAAAAGGCAATGACTTCCATTTGCTTTTTCGCCCCCTGGCAAAAAGGAAGCCATATGTTTCCGTGATGATTTCCTGCAAAACCAGGGGAAAAAGAACAAATACTCATGTTAAGCCCCGAAAAAGCTGCGTTGGACATGGATCAAGGCGGGCAAAAGGTGTCGGACCGGCCTCGGGGGCGCCTTCAGGCCAAGAACATGCAGGCAGATCTTATGGAGGGCGAGGACAGCGACGACGAGTACCAGCACCCTGGCGAGAGAAAACCGCTGAACTGGTGGGTTGGACGGATGATTTGGTGGTACCCAAAAAACCATCCAGTTTTGGGGAAAAATTGGTTGATGATTTGGTGGATTTGGATGATTTAACGGGTGGTTTCCCATTTCAGCTCTACAAGAAGGGGTTCAAATCCAAATCCAAACCACCAATCCAATGAGCCTGAGAGGGCCATGCTTGGTAAGGTTTGGTTACCTGGTTGGATAAGGATCGTGCTTGGGCATGTGTGAAATTGGGCCGAACCTTGGTAGAACCAGCCGAGTCCATGCGTGATGGGCTCACTGTGATGTGAGCCATACTTGAAGGTTAGTGGGCCACAGAAAAAAAAGCAGCCCTGGAATGATTCTGTACATGTTGGGTACGGTAGACAACCTTAAAACGAGCCAGGTGTTTGTGAATCCAGTAACAGATGTCTTGAAATCTATACCATGTTGGCGAGCCATCCTCGCTTTGTCATAAGGGATTCCTCGCAAGTGGCCATCTATGTTGGGCGACTCTTGGGGGCCCCTTCTTGTGCTCCCGTTTTCCCCCCCGTGGGTTAAATGGAGAACAAGATCATCGGGGAGGCCTCCATAGCTGAACCAAGCCAGATTTCCCTTTGGACTACTTTCGTTGACGTCATCTTTTGGTCGGTTGGTTCTCAACATGTCAATAGTTGCCCCCCTATCTCTTGCACCCGCCGCTTGTCTGTTTCCCAAGCCGCCATGCCGATCAGCCCTGAGAGGTCGAGGCCATGGAACCCCCCAAGCCAATGGATTTGTTTACTTCGCACGGGGAGCCCTTCCAGGGAGGCCGGGAGAAATTTGTTTCGGGCCAGTTTCTGTATGGGAAGCCATCAGCAAATGAATTAGTTTGGGGTTTTAGCTCGGGATCTGGATGGAAAGTCCGCAGGGCTTGGATTCCAATCTCAATTAAGGGTACCACAACATGATACAGAATAGTTGTTTCAATCACAATCACTGGGGTTTGACTTGTGTTGGAAGTGACCCACAGTGCAAATAACTCCACTGGAGTCTCCAAAACTGTGATGGATGCTGGGGTAGGCAAAATGAACAAGATTTCGTGAAATCTGACTTTGGAGTACCAAAAAGTATAGCCAAGCCTTTAACTGGGGGCAGCTGATTGGATGAAAACACCGTTGGTTCGCACACACAATTGTTACTCATGGGCGACAGGATTATGAGTTGTATCTTTACTTGAATGTTGAACTCCAAGTGAACCCATATTACTGGAACAACATATTGGATGGTGAAGCCATTGGATGGTGAACCCACATGCTCACTTGCCCAAAGCCGACCTTTTGACCCTTTGGTTTCCCCTTGTTGGCAACCATTCTTAGTAAAGGTCCCAACATGGTGATCACCTTGTATTACTGGGTCCCTACGGGGCAACTGAGTATTATGGTGTTATCTGCTGGCACACCATATAGGATGGAACACCATATTCGATGGAACCACCATCCAATGGGACCTTTCATCCAATGGAACGCAACTTCTTGTGCTGTTCCCCTTCCTTTTTTTTACCTTGTGGTATCGGCAACCATTTTAATTTTCCTTATGGTGTGAATTTCCATTCTCTTTTTAGGGTGCTGTTGCAAGGTGAAGGCGCCGGGTATGTTGGAATGAATACTTTTAGTTCGTTGGCTGACAACACACTCTTGCTATCTGGGGTCTATGAAGCTATAATTGTGTTTATCTTCTGGCACAGCATCCCATGGGCCGCTCGTGTTTTTTCCCGAGGATGGAGAAGGACGCGCTGCGTGCCATGGAGGCGGGTGGCCGCGACAGCCTGGCCGCGGCCTACGAAGCCATGGCCGCCAAGGAGGCGGCGGAACGGAACCGGCGGAGCGCGGGGAGGGGCGGCGTTATTGTGGGTGGCCCGTGTGTTTGGAGTTGTTTTTTGTTTGTCTGTGGTTGTGTTTGTTGTGTTTGTGTGTGTCTGTGTTTTTTGTGGGATTTAAAGGGAAGCCAAAAGGAAACTCATCTTTTTTTGAGGAGTCCTTTTTTGGGGTGGGATTTAAAAGGGAGACCCAGCGAAAGCACATCAGTTTTTTTTGGGGTGGGGTTCGCCTATTTTGAGACACTCCAAAAGAGAACCCACCATTTTAATAATGGACCCCCTGTCGGTAACTCCTGCCAAAAGGAAGCCATTGCCAACCATTTTAGGACACTATTTTGAGAAGCCCCCCCCCTTCCCAATATGTTACCTGAAGCCCACTAAAGGGAGCCCGGAATTGGGCCCCTCGTTGATTCATACTCTATGGGTTCAATCCGGTGATTCTTCCCGGGGCTGCACGGCTTCCAGCATCAACATTGGCATGTTGTAGGGAACCCCGCCTGAGGGACCCGTGGGTTTGGGTACTCAACAGATTCCAGTCACAAGGTGCTTCTGGTGTTCAGACCTGAGGGGGCAAACTTGAAGCTTGGTGTGCGTATCTTCGTGTTTGAGTCAAGGCACAAAGAGTCGAAGCTTCTCTGGCCAACTCTCAGGTCAGACGGGGGCTCCTCAACCATTGACAATGACACTCCCGCGGTGGTTTGCCGCAAACACGCTGGGTCCAAGATCTGGGTACGAAATCCGTCGGTGCCGTAGATTTGGTTGTGGAAAACCAGCTGGGACTGGGACGTCGCGTGTTTCTTCTCAGCGCTGTCAAGGGTCGCTAATTTTGACAGATCTTTTTGTTTCTGGGTGGTCCCCTCCCTAAGAGATGAGATGGAGAGCCTGAGACGAATTGCAAGAAGAAGGGCTCAATAGTCTTCACGTTACTGTGCTAAATAGACCGTGTTGTTTGCTTTGCTTCAAGGGAGACAAAAAGGGGATGAGTACTTCTCTATTTGAGACCCCCTATTTAGCACCCGGAGGGGCATGATTGGGTTTACTCTGTCAACTACCAGGAAAATGGCGCTGCTCAAAGTCTAGCACCTATTGGAGAGGCATAATATCATGTCCCGTACACTGATGTATAGATTGCCATGCCCTTCTTACTTCCACTGGTACCGAAGGCAGTGCATCTGCTAGTTTCGCTTTGAACTGCCCCAAGGGGTGCCAACTCCACAGAAGAAACCAAACTCAAATCCCTCAAACGCCCAAAGATGGACCCCCATAAGGGTTTTTGTGATACACCCGAATGCACCCACTGGGCATTGACCCCATTTAGGTACATTTCCATGTTATTTTGAACCCTTCTGGGTCATTTCCGCAGGGTGTAGTCCCAGGGTGTAGTACAAAAACCCTCAGAGCCATGGTTGGGGAAGCCTTGCCAGATCGTCTACGACACCTTTGCGGACGAGCTGCGGGCTGGGTACTCTGCTCGCCTGCAAGTGCGTGAAGCATGGTTCCTCGGATCAGAGGTTCCATCACGCCTCTTGGGGCTGGGTCGCCTTTTGGAGTCCCTTTGGTTCTTATCCAAGAGGTCGCCTATTTGGAGACAGACCCATTTGGTGTGTCTTCTGTTTGAGGCCGAACTGCACCAAACCGGCAAAAGGGGCGGGGGGACCATGGGGAAGAAATCAGGTAATGTAGGTACGTCTCTTTTGAGGGTACAAGAAGCAGGCGGTTGCCAAGCGGTAAGCATGTATTTTGAGGCGAAGGGTACCGTGTTGTTCAAGGAAAACCGCAAGGAAAACCAACGCAGCCAATTTGTAGTTATAACAGCAACTGCGATGCAGGTACCATTTTGGGGGGTCCAACGGTCCAACTCCCTATGTTGACACACCCTCTCTGTCTGAGGCTGGAGGAGATCAACCAGTTCCATGAGGAGCGCGAGGCAGCAGCGAAGAACAAGAACAAGCTGACCGGAACGGCTAAGAGCCTCAGGCGGATCGGTCGGGACTCGCCAGGGGAAGGTGTGCGAGTGCCCACTCAGAACTAGCGCAACTCTCTGGACCTCTCCGCTGTACCAGCAAGGGTCAGGATTCTCCGGAGAATCTGGGGTTCATGTCTGGGAAAGTTCCGTCGGACCGCCAGACGGGCGCTCGCTGGTCAACACTGCCTTAGGGCTCCTTTGTTCAGAATTCAAATCTTTCCCGTCCACTAACACGGATCCCAGATTCCGTTTGATATACAGGAAAAGGAACATTATCTTCCAGGACCCCTGAGAGAGTCAGATTCTATGTTAGTGTCCAGGGTAGATCTGTTGTAAGAGACGCAAGGCGAGATTCTGGGCAAGTTTTAATATGAGATGCCCCTTGTTTGGGTGTTCAATGTCCCTTTTGCCGGAGCCTTCCATGGCAGCTCGAAGCCCTCCGTGAGGAAGGCTCCATGTTTCTTCACTCCATGCTTCTGATGATCTTTGGGGAAAATTCGGGGGAAAATGTGGGTAACTCCGACCGAAGCTCCTACAAGCCTGGGGGCTGGACGAACGCGTTCCCATGGAAGTCATGATTCAAGGCTGAGACCTGAAACACTTAAGACAAATCGAGTTTTCTCTATGAAGCCCAGGTCATTCCCATGGGTTTGGTGCCGGGGTCGGACATGGAGCTTGGGCGCGTTTGATTCATGTTTTGTTTGTCCGAGGTCTTCCAGCTGTACGTAACGCAAAAGTGACAAACAGGAAGCCTACTCTAGCTGTGTTCAAACTCAGGGCTTGTGGTCAACTTTGTTGGCTAACTAGGTGGTCACTAGGTGCCCCAGGAGGCACTGCGGCTGGTCAGGGCGCGGGTTGCCAGGTTCGGCACGGCCATCGCGCACAAGCGTATTCCTGGCTGGCCTGCCGGGGGCATGCACGAGCATGGCTGGTGACGCGGCCCTTTTTTTTCTTTTTTCGGAGCCATGTGTTTTGGGTGGTTCCGACATGGGGTCCATACATTCCCCACAGAATGTCCAACCTGAAATTTGGATCTATCGAGAGGTGGGCTTTGATTATCTACAGTACCTGGGTACCAGGAAGTGAAGGAAACCGCCTGAAAATTCCCAGCCCCCCACTTTGGAACCGCCCCAAATCTCGGCTCTGAGAACTCCTCCGAAGGCTCGGCGCGATTGGATGGGCACATGAGGAATCTCATGGCCATAGGTTTCACATGTCTTGGGTACGGCACCCGTAACTTCGCTTTAAGCAAAGCCAAGAAAAACAACGTAGAAGTATACCTTCCCTTAAAGGCACGTTTATATTCAGATCAATGGCACTTCATCAGCAGCTTCTATTTAATGAGCGCCCGAAAGCCTCAAGAGCCATTTCGAGAGACGGTACCTGGTTTGTTTGGCAGTCTGGTACTTAGATTGGGAGGTTAGCTCAATGGTTTGCTCTTGCAAGGCTTTGCAGGAGAAGTAGACTCAAGGCTCAAGTCTTAAGGCCCCCAGCACCAGCTGCGGGGGAATGGTTTCACCTGGCCAGCTGGAAAACGGGAAGCGACCGGTGATCTCAAGGGCTCCCAGATGGGTGGCTCGTGTTTTGGTAAAGTTGGACCCCCCAAAATGCATGGATCTTCCTACGGGCTTCCTTTTGAAGCCACAGAAAAAGGGTACCTTCAAAAGACGAGCCACCCAGGTCAGTTTGGAGGTTTTCTAGTCCACTCAAGTGAGTTATCCCTGTGGCATCAAATAGGCGTAAGAACGCAAACTGTCTTTACCATCCCTGCCATGCCGAGCTTGGGGTCTGCTTGTTGGACATTCGCCCCTCCTTCCCACCCAAAAAGGTTAGATCCAAACCCTTCCATCAGAACCCCTAAGAAAGCCCCTTCCGAACCTTTTCGGGGGGAGGGTATGCTCGAGTGGTTTATAACCATGGGTACACCCCACTTGGGGGAACTTACAACCATCTTCAGTGGGTTACAACCATGGTTAACCACTTACCTCACATACCTGATCGCCCGTTGAAGTGGCAATCACTCCAAAGACCCCTCCCTGCCCTTTATTTCACCTCCTGATACAGTCCGCTTTGATCTGCAAAGAATCTAAAAGACATGCAGCACCTGCAACAACACGAGATCTCAACACAACGGACCTGCATCAGGAAAAGCTTATGTGACTGTGGGTCAAACATATGTACCCAAAACGGAACCCTGGCAAGTGGAAACGTGGACCAAAACCTGCGGTTCTTTGGTGGTTTAATTTTGACCCATCGCCATGTTTTACCCCCCCCTTGGTTTCGGGTCAGCTCGCGAGGCAGTTTGACCTCGGGACTTTTGGCCCGGCCTTGCCGCTTTGGTTCAAGGGGCTTGAGGGGGTTCGGTCTGGTGGCTCGTCTGGAGCGAGCCGGAGCACCATGGCTGGGGGCCCAAGTTCCGTGGCTTTTGAGGGTCAACCCCCTTCTAGAAGGAAATATCGCAAAGTTGGAGGGTTCAAAGTGATTTTCAGAAGTTCAGCGAGATTTGGGTGGGTCTCTTGAGGTTAACCCCCCCCCTGTATGATGGACACTTAGGATCTGTTTAGGGTATTGGTTTTGAGGCTACCCCCCGCTCCCCCTTTTTGGTGGTTGGTAACGGGCGATAGCAAGGCAAGCGATAGCAATGGCAAGGAACCTGGTGGCTATCGATGCTTCAGTTTCTGAGGCTAACGTGGAGTCCGTTCTGCCAGATTTGTTGGGCTAGACTTGAGCCATGAAGACAATGGTTCGAGAGGTTGGTTCCCCGTTCTCTTTGGCAACCACCCATTTGTCTGGGGGATTGGCCAACTTGAAGAGAAGGATCCCTGAGAACGGGGGAGGTGCGGTTAGAATGGTTGCCTTTTGGCCATTGCCAGGTGGAAGCACCGAGCATCCAAAGCCCCCGAGGGATGAGCCCGAAGTTTCAACCATCGGCTCGTGCCGCTCTCCGAAAATAACCCCAGCCTCTCGATTTGCCGATCCATGGGTTTGTTTCGGCAGACTCCTACGCCGGGCAATCACGACCCAGTTGACTTTGTTCCTAGCGGCCCACCTATCCATATACTTCCAATTGCTTAAGCCCCCTGGAAACAAATATTTCCAGTAGTGATAGATTCCCTTTAACACGAGCAACGGAAAATACAACATGTTCTTAAGCAAATGGATGCATCCATTTGGTTTTTCTTGAACAGTCAAACCAGGCCTTGTCTTGATGGGTTGATCTGGCAGCGGCCAGCTCCATGCAAGGCCGCGAACCAGACTTTGCTCGGCCCTTAGTGGTGGAGAGACGTGCTAAAAGCGGTTGGGGAGGATCTCCAGATAGCCCTAACTTGCCAAGCCAAGCCCTGGAAGAATCAAGAAACCAAGGCAAACCATGTAAGAAAAAGAAGTACACAACCAACTACATCGACTTGCTGACGTGCCAATTTCAGCTGAAACACCCCAACGGTTGCAATGTCCAGCTGTAGCAAAAGCTTGCAGATTTGCTGTCGTGCCAGGTATGTCAACAATCTCAATGACAAGATCAATGTCGAGACTCTGAAAAAGTCCCTGAAGGAGGCAAATGTCACTCCAAGAGTGACATGTGGCTTGCCAAAGGTCTCACTGCGGCGTTCGTTGCAGCAAACCATATTTCCGGGGTCTCAGCTTTACTGGTTCCCTGTTGGCGTTGCGCGACATGCGTTTTAGCTGGCCATGACACTGTAGGTTTGCGTACGTGTGAATGTAAGGGGACCCAAAAAATTGGTGGCGTTCTTTGCGCTTCCCTTTCAACTAAGCTGAAAAGGATCCCCCCCAAAACGAAAGCAGAACACATGTGTGTTCATTTGATGCCAGGTTTTTGCAGCCTTTGGTGGCATCATCGACATCATTGCCATGAAGTCGTTGAAACGACGAGGGCAGGCGCAGTGCCAGCTCGTATACACCTATTGTGATATCTCTTTTTAGAAACATGTTTTCTACTGCATACATCTTTGTGTCAGCGGTAGACATCATACCCTCAAACAAAAGGTCTTTGAGCTGCGAAAGGTGTTCGAGCCTTCCCAATGCATCATTGATGTCTAGGTCCCCCAGTAGTGCCCTTTTACCCTTTTTGGGGTCTCAACTGGAGGACCTAGATGTTGAAGGATGACTCTGAGAAGGGTAACATCAACGCAGGGGTTCGTTCATCGCCCAGCCGACGCAGGCTTGGATCATCTTCAAGGAGGCATGCCCGCAGGTTTGTTTTGCTTCTCGCTAGGCTTGGTCTCGGGTGAAATGATGAGTACTTTGTTGCATTTTGCTTGTATGTTAGGACTTTAACTTTTTGGCAACCAATGGGTTTTTCATTAAACCACTGAAAGTTAAACTTTTAGCAGGGGAGCAGAGTTCGCAACCGAGGGTTGCTTCATTTGCCTAGTGGGTCCTGGACCCTGTATGTTCCTTTAAGAGCAAATTTGTGGAAGGGAAGGTGGGCATTCTGGTATTTTCTTAGCCACTTTTGAGGTTCCAGCTCTATCCAACTCGTGGCCAACCTTTAGAGGTCTTTCACAGCCAGTCCGCAACCGATTCCCTAACCCGAATGCCAGACTCCTCATGGTTTTTTTTGAGTGGGGGGAGGGGGGGAGAACGCTTTTTCGTATGGGATATATTTAAAAACCTGCACCAACAAATGAGGTGTTGTCCAAGTATTCGCTAGTCCATGGTCCACTTAGGAGGGAGGACATCGGGCGGGGGGGGAGGGGCTCTAAATGCCAACCGGTCCAAACAGGAGTAGCCGAGTATATGTTGACCATGACTCTTGGCGCATGTGAGTACTTACCTTCACTCTTCTTGGCATTTTGTTTGATTTTCTTGTTTGTTTTTTTGGGTTCGGGTTCTGGGGTCATTTGCTGCAAAAGAGTGTTTCGCAAAATTACGAACCCCATCCAAATAGTTGGTTTCCTCCTTGGTTTTTCCTGGACCACCCAAAAGGGTTCGCTTATCTTAAGCCAGGCCCATGTACCGAGGCTCGGACAGTCGCTATTCGATCCGATCAACCGGCTCGGCGGTAGGTGTCAGCTGCGACCAACTCGCTGAAATCCTTGCAGGGCTTCCCCTTCTACAACAAGCCCATGCGCCAGCAGCTGAGACCCTGAGACCCTCATTGACCTCCCATTGACCTCCCATTGACCTGCCATTGACCTCCCTGAGACCCTCATTGACCTCCTTAACCTTAAGCCCCTGTTTTTCTTCGGAGGTTTCCCCAGGCGTCCCTTCAGTTCCTGGAGAACCGGCTGGGAATGGGGAGAACTTCGCGGAGCGGCAATTACGGATCTCTGTGTCGTTGGGATTTGGACCCAAAAATGGGAGTTGTGGTTGTGGTGTCTCTGCAGAAAAGGCCAAAAGGGGCGCCTCAAGAACGAAAGTGGCCATTTTGGTACCTGCAAAGCCGAGCGATGGCTCGAACTCCTGCCAATTGACCGTGCGAGGCATTGCATATGCCAAGACCAAGTCGGATGTGGTAGCAAAGGCAGGAAGGGCTGGGAAATGAGAGATGGAGTGCTTGACCTTGGGTCATGTTCCTAAGCACCTGAGTCCCTATTCACCAGCCTACAAAAGATAGCAATTCCAGTGTGTGCGTGTGTGGGTGCGCGCTCATTCCCGGGCTAGATGACCCATGTCCATCTGGATTTCCCCAAAGGAAACCAAAGCGAGGTGGGGGATGTGTTCTTTTTCCCAGACCTATTGAACCCAACTTGACATCCGGCCACACGGGTCGCCTAGGACTCAAGTGACCAGTGGATCCCGAAATTCCGACGCGGAGATATCCACGTTGCCCCCTGTTGAGTGGCCAGCCTTGGGCACTTGAAAAACTCCATGCCAATCCAGCGGAATGTTCCTGGTATCTTTCAGGAACAGGCCATGGCAACTGAAGGTATACCTCCCAAGATAGGCGCATGTAGACCCTTCTTGCTGAGAGGTGGGTGTGTATTGTCTTGTTGGATTACGGGTAATTAAACAAAAGGAACACCTCCATGATTGGGGTCCAAATCCGTATTTTGACATTGATATTGCCCCCGGCTGGAAATGGATGGTCCGACTCGAGGCTGATGGCACCTATGTCGAGCGACCTAAGAAGATCGTGAAGCGCGAGGACTTGAGTTGCGAATTGGTGTTTCGAAGAAGGGGACCCTAGAACTGGTGTCTTTCAACTTTGCTTTCCTTCAAAAAACTCCAAGAAACCCCCATTATTTGTTGGTATGTGCTTTTTGTTCGTGGTTGTTTCTGGAGGGATGCGAAGCACAGAGTTGTTGGCTGACATGGGTGTTTGTCAAAGTTGTGAACCTTGTTTGGACCGAGTCAAAAGGTGGGTGGCACGAAATGACAGGATTCGCAAAGGGGCTGCTTTTTGAGAACCCACCTCTCGAGTTGCAAAACTTCAAGCCTTGGGGTTGTAAGTTTCTGCATCTGTTCAAGTCAGGGCCCAGAAATGTTGAGTCATAGCCACGAACTCAGCAGGTTCTTTGGAAGCCTAAGGGACAGCCCCGACCAGATTTGTTTTTGCGGATATCAGCCCCTTTAATTCTGTACATAGTTCTGAGCTCACCTTCAATACCGGATGTTTGACTTTTTGGACGTCAGTCATGCCCTGTCTCGAAATGGTTGATCCCTCTCTCTCTCTCTCTCTCTCTCTCTTGTTTGCTTTGAAGAGAAACAAAACGAAAACCAAGGTAGGGAATGTAAACCATAGTGGCTGCCAAGCAACAAACAAAAACCCAGCACAGGCAATCCCAAAAACCAAAGGGAGATAAAGCTGAGACCTGGCTGCGGGACAACGACTCTTTCTGCAAACATCACTTGTGAGTTTGGTGCCAGGATCTGAGGAAAAAGACCACCACGGCCCACGCGCAATTGGCTTAGAGCGCCGACCCTTGTCCACTGCTCCTGTAGTTTTTTATGCCTTTTGTGCGTTGGCTCAAAAGGCACCCAGAAGGAATTCCGTCATTTTGGGTACCGCTAGTTTGGCACATCCCCAAGTATTCAATGAGGCCCATCTTGAATGTCACGTTCTTACCAGCTGATTGCTGGATACCTTTGTGAAATCCAATTGATTTTGGGATGTATCTGTTCAGAAGCCCTAGAAAGGACTAAGGCGAGGCCAAAGTCAACTGAGCCCGCAGGTTTCTGGGTGCATCGAATCGCGCAAGGCCTCCGGAGATCAAGACAGCCGCCACCCGAGATTCCAAGATTGACGGAGTCCGGCACGAGGGCGTGGTTTGCGCTTTGGGGACCCCTTTGGTGGTTTTAAAGGGACACCAAGTGGGCAAAACCCCCGGGGCCATTGGGGGGTCCCCTAAGCGGTTTATCCCAGTATACCTGGGTGCTATTTGGTTGGAAACTTGGTTGGATGGTTGTGGGAGCACGACGCTTTGTCCGCCGGTGAGCCCCTCTGAGTAAAGACTTCGTCATTTTGAAGATCTATGGTATCCATCCCACCCTGCTGTGGATAGCTACAAAATCCGCCCGCCGGTGCTAAGCGGATTTTACAACCATCCACAATATGACGGGTGCATTCAAGTGAGCAGTTTGATGGGTGAACAACATGGGGGTTGCTTCCCCAAACGCCCCCCCCCCCTCGTCCGTTTCATTAAGGGGCTGTTTCCCTAACCCCCGCCTCGTTGGACTTTGAGAGACTTATTTGGGTGCGTCGTTTTTTGGATGGTACCCGTTTTTTCGTGGTTTTCAAAGGGACACCACAAGGAGAACCACCAGTTTGGGGGGGAGGGTCCAACCATTTTTTTTTGGGGGGGGGTCCAACCAAAAAAAGACACACCCATTTGGAAGACGACGGTGGTTTCGAGCCTCGAAGACTACGGGGCCTCGCGTTGCCTCAGGTGTCGACGCCAGCACAGTCGGCTGCCACCCAGAAAAGCATCCAGGACAGTGCCTTTTCAATTGAGAGGTCCTGGGTAGAAAGCGCCCCGTTTTAGCCACTCGGCTCACTTTCTGTGATACCCAGACTTGACTGCTATTGGGTTGGATCTTTAGACTTTAACTTTTTTGGAAATACTGGTGTTTCTGCTTAACCCCCAGAAAGTTAGACTTTTTGCAGGGGGGTCAACAGCAACCACGCCAGAGAATCTCTTTTGTGAAGAATGTAGTCATAGGCATGGCCCACTTTGCTATCACGGAAAGCAATGTTTCCCACAGCCATTCAACCGCCAGATCATTATGGGTTTCGTGTTAGAGCCGACATGGCAACCACCTCTACTCTTTCAAGAAGGTAGAACTACTTTCAAGCGTCCAAGGGCATTGGGATCAAGCAGAATCATGGTTGGCCACTTCGTTTTGCCCTATTTTGTGATCGCACAATTTGGACTACCCCTAAAGAACGCACGGAAAAGGGGGGGGTGAAACCACGGGGTACGGGGTCCGGGGTCATGGTGTGACATGGCTCCCTTTGCTTCTTTTCGGTTGGGAGGCATCGCCTTTTTTGCCCAAATTCAGGTGTGGTTCCCTTTTTTGAGGGGGAACGCCTGCTTGGTTTTTGCAAGGGAGAACCAAAAGGAAAGCCAAAGCCATGCGGGGAGCCGAAGTTTGCTTGAGCAAGGCCGCGCCGTTGGGCTCGAGCATGGCTTCTTTTTGGCAGATGTGCGAGCTGGCACCTGGCATTGGTCACGGATGGTAAAAAAAAAGGAACAGAGGTTATGTTGTCACATTTTCGTGGTTTGGTTCAAATGTGTGTGGTTTTTCGATTGGAATTGGGGTGTTGTCAAGAATCTGGATTTTGTTTTGAGATTTGAAACGGGAAAAAGGGGACTAGTTTTGACAAACCTTCATATGTTAATATAGAATAAGTTTGTATTGGATCACTGAAGAGCGCGCTTGAAGACAAGCTATACCTTGGTGCAGTTTGCTTGGGTGTTAGGACTTGAACTGTTTGGCAACTAATGGGTTTTCCATTAAACCACTGAAAGTTTATTATTATTATTATTATCGCAGGGGAGCAGAAAACAGCCGAGCATCGGATGAGACACACATCCCAACTCATGCCTGGCGCAAGTTGTTCAACCATCCACAGTACTGTATGGCTGAGAAATCCCACTTTCCGATGGTTTTGTGGTATGAATACGTGTCCAAATCACGAGGCCCCAACAATGGTGCCGTTTACTTTGCCTTGGAAACCTAGCTGAAGAGAGTGGCCTCCAAAGAAAAGACGCTCCTATAGATCTTGTCCCAACAAATGCATGTGGGTCAAAAACACGTACCCAAAATGGGTTGCCTTGGTAAATGCAGACAAGGACTCAAACCTGCGGTCCATGTCCTGATGGTTTAATTTTGACCCATACCCAAATCAGACGTTACGTCCATTTGAGTTCAGCTTTCGGTTGCGCGGAGCCAAACCTGCCATGGAGTGGACGCCAGGCGTGCCCGCGTCGGGCTGGATAAGAACGCTTCCCCTTGCCATTGGAAACCAAAGGACCGCAAACACGGTCCCATGTTTCACTTCCATTTGCTTAAGAATAGTGTTTATTTTGTCCTGTTAGTTTTAAAGGGAATCTATCACTACTGGAAATATTTTTATTTTTTTCAGGGGACTTGAGCAAATGGAGGTTTAGAACTGAAGATCTTGTTTGGGAAGTGTACCCCCCTCATGATTTGCAAGAGAGAGAGAGAGAGAAAGCCCTTTTAGACCCTCTTTTAAGGCGGAACATGAAATCCCAAACGGACCTGATGTTTGACAAACCTTGAACTGGAGTTCCCCTTGAAAGGGTTTGCAAAGTGTTCCCGTTTTTTTCAAGACAATCGAAAAGGATACCCTCAAAAACACGCCCAAAGATCTTTTTTTTCCGAAAGACCTGTTTTTGGTCTGGTGAGGTTTGAGGGAAGCGCAACCTTCAGATGGGCTGAAGAGCCGATAGTTTCCAGCTGTAGAAAGAATGTTTGCCTTCCGTTGCTTTCTCAACATTTGTGGCGTTCGATCGGTCGGCAGCAGCCTCTCACCTTGCCCGATTTCGCCACAAAGCGCTCGTTAGCAGTAAGAACCCCTATAGCTAGAGCCATTTGGGGAGCCTCTCCAAGTTCAGAGACCTGGCAGGCGGTGAATTAAAACAAATCGGGGAAAAGTGTGAATGTGGAAATGTTTGGAGCGTAGCCTGAAAAAAGAATGTCCTTGTTTTCCCTTTGAAACCACTTTCCCTCAAAAACACAGACCCACCTTGAGGTTTCCCTGAAACCATAAAGTTATAGGGGTTGATTCCCCATTCTCAACCATCGTTCGTTGCAAAAAACAGCTGTTTTCCCTTGGGTGTTTGGTGGTTTTCTAGAAAGATTCGGATCCCTGGAAAGAATGGGGAAGCAACCCTGAGAAAAATATTATAACAGAATGGGCCGATCGGAACGGGCGGAAACCGCTCGGGCGGGTTTCGACTTCTGCCCAGGCGACCCATGAAGCGAGCTGCGGATGGGCGGGGGCCTGAAGAATCGAAGCCGAAATCCAACCAAACAGCAACTTGGTTTTGTCTCAAAATGGGAGACTCCCCCCCGCCCCAATATGGTTAGCATGAATTTTGGGGGCGTTTTTGTGTTTGTGTTTTCCCTCGGGGGCACCCTAAACGGTGGTTGGCTTCCCTTTTCCTCCAAAAAGAAGACACGCCAGTGTTGGTGTCCAACGCCGGGAACAACAAGTGCAGAGTTGCATTACCAGCAAGGGGTTAGAGCTGACGCTTGTCGGGGGAAGGGGGTAAAACGAGAAAGTCGTGAACTTCCATTTGTTTGTCAGTTGTTTTTCATATTTTCCCCGGTTGGTTTCTAGAGGGAATCGATCACGTTCTGCCCGGGGGTGAAGCAAATGCAAGTGAAGGTTGACTTGGGGATCCAAGTCTGATTTGTGCAGGTGTTGGCAATACTGGATAACTTGCTGGTGCGATAGGACCGAGTCGGGGTATTGGGAATGAGCAGCTTTGGGATTCCCTTAAAGGAAACCGTAGGGGATTGTTTAGGGGTCGTTCCCTCATTCCCTACTGAGAACCAGCGAGATAATTGCAGATATAGCTAGGATTCCAACTGCCAAAAGAAGGAGCAAACGGGAAAGAACCATGGTCACGAACCACTAAACATGACTGCTAGTCCAAGTGGTTTGTAGCCAGAGTTGTTAGCTTGCTTGACGTACCGAATACGGATAATAGCAGGGGGACATCAAAAGAGGCACGCAGCAACTGAGGGCCCATCCAATTCTCCCAATGTCACCTTGGGAATATATTTGTCCATAGACAATATCAGGGATTATCAAGCACATACAGGTAAAAAAGGGGCTGCCAAAATCATATATGCTTCCTGGCGATGTGTGCAGGGGGAAAATGGCGAGCTTGCACCAAGCCTGCAGGCAAGCCGTGACCGATGACAAGCGAAAGGCACGGGGATTTGTTTCCCCGCTCGATTAGGCTTCACAACTGCACCACAATGAACACCCAGAAAATTGGCTAAGTCCCAACTAGGTGCGCAGGCCGCCCTGTAAATTGTATGGTGTTTTTGGTAGACTCCCTCAATGCCTGGTTTTGAGTATAGCTCCACTGCGATGTAATCCGCCTACGAAGCCATCCACATTTCTTCTTCCGCATCAAAGGAGCCAATGCCCTGCATGCATCGCAAAAGCAAACGCCGGCCTGGGCGAGGGCCACCTGGGGGCCAAGGGAATGGCTCGGGGAAGCAGCGAGTCTGTTTGCGCCGTGCAGAAGCCGGCATGCGCTTGAAACCTTTGTTTGTCAGCTTGCAATGTGCGTGGGGGCAGCTCTGGAAGAACCAATAGACTGTGGCCCATCTTTAAAGTAGAACTGAAAGGAGGCGCGCATCGAAGCAGGACATCTCTTATGATCTGTATCCATATGGCCATGGCCTTTGAGCAGATTGGGGATATGTCCTTGGTTTTTAAGAACGTGGTGCCACGAAGCTGAGCACCAAGAAAGGGACGCCAATGTTGGGGAACCTTTTTCCATCCACAGTAGGGCCAGGCAGTGGTAATAACCGACCTATGTCTCAAAGAACCCTGTAAACCTTTCGGTTCCCTGTACCCCCAAAAATCCTAGACGAATTCTGTGTTTTGCACATCTGGTTACCGTTTGGCTTCCCTTAAACATGAACCTAAAACGAATGGTACCCTGGAACGAAGCACACCCCCTGCTTTGGATTGGTTTGGAGTTTGGCGATGTGGTCAATGGGTATTTCTACAACAACCCATTGTTCAACTTGCTGCTGCGAGAGGTAGGGAATGCGGTGGAATGAACCCAATCTCCCCTAGGAAGCCACCAGTTGGATGGTTTAGTTGCGGGTCATTCCAACTCTCATTCTCTGCATCTCTTGCACCAGCAAGAAAGAAAACCGCCTGTGCTGGAGTAGGGCTCTCAGCAAAAGGAATTTGTTCTTCCAAATGGACCAGCAGGTCAAATGGCCATTGGGGCATAACCTATGGCTCCATTTTGGGGTGGATGAACATCAAGTTGCCACCTATTTTGATGTTCACCAGGGGTACAGGGTTTTGACCCACAGCCAAATGCCAAGTAAAGCCATCCAACTTCAGGTGGTCATCCAGGGCTTCGACAAGAAGTCCGGGCTTGGGCAGTCCCTCGCTGAGGCGTTTCTTGGCCTGACACTCTTAGACGCCCAGGCGAGTGAACAGCCCAGGGAGAGAAGTGGCCATGGTTCAAAACCATTGGTACCATTTTGGTGCACCACCCATCTTGGTCTATTTTAGTGGGGATTGGGATGTTCACTGGGGGTACGGGGTTTTGGCCCAGTGTCCATTTGCTGAAATGAATATGTGCCAAGTACAATCTTCCCGTACGAGGGAACCACCCTATCTTCCATTTGATTATCAGAATGAGTTTTGTTGTAAACGCTTCGCGTTGCGTCTGAGTGAGTGAGTCGGCACCGAAATGCGCGAGCTGGTTTCCAAGATAGAGGCTGGATGTTGGCGTTTCCACATACCTGGAAAAGGGCTAGGGAATACGTAAGGAACTTGACCACCGGTTTTCAGAGGGGATTTGCCTGGTTTCTAGAGGATAATTTGACTGGCTGGCTTCTGGCAGTTGGACGGTTTCTAAGGGAATGTGACGGGTTTTCGGAGGGATTTGATTGGTTTGCAGAGGGGAGTTTCCGATTTCCATGTCCTGACTTGTTTTAGGAAAGAGTTGCGTGGCTTCTGGGCTCGCGCCTGGCCTCAAGCACTTGCTTCAGAGGGGCTCGAGGCAGCTGGAGCATGGTTTCGGTTGCGCGAGACGGGTGTGCGGGGCTCGGACACACATCAGCACGCTGGCAACAACAGGCAAGGCACCTACGCCACAGAAAGATGCAGCAACGAGCATGAACCGCAAGCAAAGCAGGAGAAGACAGCTGAGCCAACATTACCAATGGGCACATAATGGGCACATCACCAACACGTCAGAAGAGACCAGCACCGCCGCCTACATCACCTACAAGAGACAGAGATGACACAATTGCAGAAGGCAGCGCAGGCAAGCAACAACGCACCACAGCAGAAAGACAAACACTGGAGCGACCTACAACAACAGAACAGCCAAAAGGCAACATCAAGTTTGCAACAAGAGATGGCAGACAAATGGAGACCACATCCAACGAGGACGCCGAAGAAATTGAAAACGAAAGGATCCTACAAGAGCCGATCACACATGCCACACAAGGCTTGGATCCACAACTCATGTCACATGAAGAAAGAAGCGCAACAAATGAAAGACCCAGCAGTCTTTACAGAGATTGATGGCAACACCATGATAGCAGAACAACGAGCGGGTTCTCAAACAAAAGCACAATGAAGCACGAGCACGAATAGTAGCAAAAGGCTACACAGAACCTGTTACAGACCGCGACCTACTCTTTGCAAGCACACTATTGTTTCGCATGCTGAGAGTACTTCTCACAATGGCACTGGTGTACAGTGTACAACTGTCGGTCTGTACAGGAGATGTCAGTGTTGCAGGCGGCTGAACAAAGCAATATACGGCTTGAGATCGTCACCAAAACAATGGCAAGACCACATAGCACACATTCTCACAGTCACACCTGACCTCGTGAGATGCGCAACAGAAAGCAATGTCTACAGATCTTAAGCAGTCTACATCATGATCTATGTAGACGATCTCCTATTCATAGTATTCATAGGAGTACAGAGCATCATTGACACACTGTTCAGCAGAATACAAACAGAAGCCCCCCTGAGACAGACAGGCAACCTCAATGTAGTAACAACAAGGCATTTCCTTGGCAGGAACATGTCACACAAGGGCAACTCGGCATCAGTTTTAACAACTACGTTGACATCATCCTGGAAGAAGCAGGAATGACTACATGCAACCCAGCACCAACACCAGGAGTTTCACACATGAAAGGCGCGGCAGAAGACGAAGCGCCACTTGACCACGAACAGCACAAGCAATACAGGCGGCTTGTTGGCAAGATACAATGGTTAGCGTACACCAGACCAGACATCTGCTACGGAGCAAAAGAACTAGCAAGATCACTACAAGCACCAACCCTGTTTGACAACAAGAAACTCAAGCACGTGAGAAGGCACCTTAAAGGCACATACAGATACAGGACAAGCGAATTCCTCTCCATCGACACACACAGATGCCAACTGGGCATCATGTGAGACAACAAGCAAGAACGCAAATGGATTTGCGACACATTTCTTCGGAGCAGCAGCACATATGGAAGCAGAACACAGGCATCAATAGCACTTTCAGCCTCCACATCAGCAACTTCATCAAGGAAGCATTTGAGGCACGCACCAGCATCAGGGTACACACAGACGGCAGCGCAGCCAAATCAATCACAATGAAAGAGGGCACATCAAAGAAAGCAAAGCGCATTGAGCTGCGACACCTCTTCATACAACAGCTTGTCAAGAGGAAAATCATTGCAACGCACAACGTAATGTCAGAAGACAGCCCAGCTGACACACTAACAAAATTTGTCGGCTGTGACACCCTCAGCCAGCACATGTACACAGTTGGCCTGCCGAGTTTCACACTGTGCACAGTATGTTAAGCAACGGTTGCGCAGCACACTTGTATGTTTCACGACTACATATCAGCCGGCATAGTTACATGTTTTCAGGGTAGATACATCGCCATGGATCGACCCTCGCGTTGACAACCATTACATTTCACGTGTTTTTGCCTCCTTGTTTGGAGCGTTGTACACCAATGTACATCTCAGCCATGACAGTTTGACATGGATTGCGGAGTACAGCTCGGCCACAGAAGTCACGGTGGCCAGGACATGGGACACCACAAGCATCACAGCTTTGGGGTACATTGAGGGGAACATCACCGCTAAACAGCCCCTGCATACACTGGATGCCCTCCACATGGACACAGACCAGAACAAGACTAACCTGATGCACATTGCCATGACAGTTGAAGAGTTTACAGCAGGGTCCACAGACAATGAATTGAAATGCTTGCGCGCTTGGGCCAGGCAGTCAGAGGCTGAGTACATTGTGTTGAACAGCTCGCCATTTGAATAAGTTACAACACTGTTGAATTACATCACTGCTGCTGTACACACCTTTTAAACATGTTCTTTGTGGCCACAGCGCGGTGCTTTCGATGCTTGGTTGCTTCACAAAAATGGACCTCTTGAAGAAGCCCGCTTGAGCTTCTTCTGAGTTGATAGAACCCCAAACATCAGACAAGACCCTCCATTCCAATGGTCAGGACCTCCATTGAAAGGTTTGGGACCTGACAATGCGACGCAAGATTCCGAGACAAAGACTTCGGGAGCCCTGTTGCCCGTTCGATCCCGTTCCGTTGAGCGGATCGGCGCGACTGAGGTTGGAGCGGGGGATGCTGAAGGTCGCCTGCCCGAAGGGCGAGTCCTTGAACGGCGAGCAGTACAAGGTGGGATATCCAAACCATTTGGCCCAATGAGACATGGATGTTGGGTCTGTGTTTTTGTTGACCTGTTGTTTTGTGGTTTTTGTGGTTTTGAATTTTGACCGTTTTGACCATTGTGGGTTTAAAGAAGGAAACTGAGAGGACAACCACAATTTGCTGGGAGTCGAGACCCCAAAAAGACGTGCCCATGTCTCATTCATCCAAAGAAGTACGTACCAATTAGACTGAGTGTAGGCCTTTGGGTCTGGGGGGGGGATCGGGAATCGCGCGCCCAAAGTGGCGATTCCGTTTGGCATCTGACGTGGTTAAGTTCCAATTTTTGGTTTCATAGTAGAGTGCACGCCTGAACTGCACCCTCCGGTTCTCAAGGGCAACCAATCCACCCACCAGCGGAATCTGCACGGGTGAGGAGACTTCCAGGTTGAAGCATGTCTTCGCCAAGTTTATTGCATTTGTTGCGTTCACACCACAAGTTGCGTCCTCGCCACTTTTCGGTGGCAAACCCTACAAACCATCTTGTCAAGTGGATCAGACGTGAACCCCCTTTCGAACATCATGGTTTTCGGATCCCAACACATGAAGATATCATCATATCATCCAGAAAAGCCCGGTTTGATATCCTTTTGGCTTCCGTTTACGCACCATTTTTTTGAGGGTTGAACGTCAGATGGATAGTACCCCAGTAACCCCTCCCTCCACCCCACACATACGGCAATATGGGCAAGCGCAACACCATGCCGATATAGTCCTCCTTGGCTGCTTTTAAAAGGAATGACAGTTTTCCCACAAGCAGAGAAGTCGTACGATTGCGGGGGGGGGGGGAAAGGACCAGCCCAGTCATAGCCAGGTTGATCGAACCAAAAGTCATTGGTTTTGGGCACCTGGTCTCTGACCTTCTGCATCCTATCATTTGTGCATCCCTGTCTGGATTGCCTTGAAAACCAGGGGCGCTGTAAGACTTGGCGATCTCGTTTCAGTTTCCCCCTCAGTTACACCATCCAGCAGGGGGGCGAGATTTGAGTCGATGAGCACAACTGTCCAACAAGGTATGTCTTGTTCTGCAGATGCATTTCTTTGTTTCCGCAGGTTCCCCAAAAAAAGACATCATGTCTTCAATTTGCGGTCGACGTCAGGGAGGTTAGCCGACGGGTTAGCCAGGGGGCAAAGAACCCACTCATGTCAGGTGCCCTTTCCCCTTGCAACCAAGCACAAAGTACCTGCCCCCATTCTGTCCAAATCGGTGACCGGTGTTGCGAGGCCTACAAGTACCAGTACAAGCGTCTTTGCCGGGACCTCACTGTTTGGTTCGGTTCGGCCGGGGTTTCCTTATCGTTCCTTTTCTGAGAGGGGGTTGCCATTTAAAAACTGGCCACAAAGGAGTGGTTCTCGAGTGGGGAATGACCCCGAATTGAACCCCTGACCTCCAAGATCTGAAGCAGTTCATGCCCGCCCTCCAGCAACTGCCAGGAAACCAAGCCCTGCCACATCCCAAAGATTTCTTGACGGAACCGGGCTTCCCATCAAACCTGGAGTTCCCTTGTTTATGGGTGCTCCTGTCATCTTCCGTAGACATTAGGTCTTTTGATTGACAAAGAGGGCAAACCGCAGGTCTTAGTCTTTGGTTCCATTCACCATGCCATTTTGGTCTCCATGTCTTTGCGCAGCCGAATTTCTGGAGACTGGTCAAAAGATGGACACCTGCTAGGGCAAACCGCAGGTTTCAGTGCGCAGCCGCAAAACTGCACTGCCAGCTGAAACTCCGCGTCCTCTGCCGGAAATCCTCCGGTCCTTCGAAGGCACCCACCTCCGTCGCAACGGCTCCTTGGCGGAGAAGCTGCGGAGTGGGGAGCTGGACCCCGAGCAGGTGGCCTCCCTCCAGGACGAGGCGCGTCGAAGTCTTCTTTCTAGGGGTACCTTCCATGTCCATTCTTTCCAGGCCTCTTTTTTTGCAAAAATCCACCCAATATTTTTGGGGGGAAACAGCTGGAGTTTGAAAAGAACCACGGTTGAAAAGAATGGAAAAGGAATCAACCCAGAGAGATTCTTCGGTTTACTTCGTCGGACGGAGGTGTTCAAAGACTTCCATTTGCCCATGGATTTATTTTATGTTCATGTTGTTTTTATTGTGTTTTATTTTGTTAAAAACCTTGTTGGTTTTAAAGGGAATCTATCACGACTGGCAATATATGTTTGTTTTTTCCCCCAGGGGCTTAGGCAAATGGAAGAAGAGTGAATCAGTGAAGAGGGTGTTGTTGTTGTTTTAGGGGGACCATGGGGACCCACAAATTGCTTGGGTTGTCCTTTTGTTTTGTAGTTGTCCTTTGGTTTGCTGTTTAAAAGCACCAAAACATTGGATACCCTCAAAGAAGGCACACAGGTGGGTTCTAGCCCCAGATGGGTTCCAACTTGTCCGAAACCAAACTGACTAACGTTTGCCTGAAAGAGGGCCCGTGATACGAAACAGAAGCTGGAAATTTAGTGTGTTTTCTGAGTTCCCCAGAAGGGTTGTTGAGGATATGGGTTTGTCTCAAAATGATGGACCCGAACAATGTGTGGTTTTCTTGTGGTGTCCTTGTTGCACTATCCACAACAAAATGCGTACATTGGGCAAATACACGCCTATATGCATGTGTTGGTATCGTATTAAATCCGAAGTTGAATATCACAAAAGTGCTTTTCCGATAGCCACGCCATTTATGGCTTTGGCAGTGGGCGCCCTTTTTAGAACATTTGTGATTTGAGTGGCTCATCTAAAGTCTCCTCAGCGGGGGCCCAAGTTTGAAGCAAAGGAGTTCCCCCTTGCATACCTTCAACAGGCCCCTTGACTGTTGATGGCAGAATCGGAATGGGAGCCCCATGGTTGAAAACCACGGCGAGTCAATTCAATCCTTCACCAAGTTGATTGACCCATGGACATTAGCGGTGCATAGGTCCAGAGGACGGGTCTTGTTATTTCATGGACACAAGATCCCACATTTCGGCCCTTTGGCGTTGGGTCCACAAGTTCAAGTGCCAATCATTTGTCTTGAGACCCAAACCGAGTGGGTACTTGGTGGGGGATATTCACTGCGGAAGCGTTTGGCCCGATTTTGTTTATGTCATGTGCATTGGAGAGGTATGTATTTGTATGTATGCGCGTTCGTGCGAGTTTTGCCTGACTCGCTTGTTGGTTAACGCCTTGTGTTGCCCAGGTGAATTGTGTGTTTCTCAAAGTTAGGAATCCCCTTTTGGATTGTGTTAAAGCGAAGTCTATTGTAAACTAAATGTGGAACAATGATAAGGAGCCTACCCGAGATGGATATCCTTTACTTGGAGATTTCGTATTTCCTGCTTTGATTTGTAGTACTTGCCCACATCCATACTGGAGATCCCCGCACGGGAATAGGCCGTGTCGCCATTTCTCGGTTGGACAACCTGTTGCTCCCTGTGTTGGACCTTTGCTTGGTTGTTTGGGCCAACCAAAACAGGTTCGAGGGAATCCGCACAATGGGAACCAAAACCCTTCCTTTGGTAGGCATTCGCTTTTCAGATGTTGTTTTCTGAACATCGGATGTTCGTATAAACTGACCCACGCTCAAACAAGAATTGGGTCTCACGCAAAAACAGGAGAAGCTTGAAAGGATTTGGCCATGGGGCATAACCTGTGGCTTCATATTGGGGTGGATAAACATCCATTTGCCACCCATGTTGATGTTCACCAGGGGTTTCCTGGGTTTTGACAACCACAGCCATTTACAGGCTGGCCCAGCGCACCAGGCCCTCATGGCAGAGAGTCAGAAGAGTGAGCTTCAGCAGTTCCGCCAGGCCGCGTGCCCTGCATGGAACCTGGAAGAGGGGCTCTGGGTGGACGAAATCCATTTCGCACCACCTAAGAAGCCCTGGAATGATGATTCCCCTGTAAGCACAAGCAAACAATGGTTTCCCATGGTTTCAAAGTGGTGTAGGATTTCGTCCACCCAGAGTATGTTTTTAGAGAGTAGACAACAGAGACGGTATATGAAACAGAAGCAGGAAAGAATATCTTTTTTGCGTGCCCCAGCGTCCTTTCAAGTCCGTGTTTACCTTTTGGGAGGTTAAGTGGTGGTTGTCCGTGTGGTTTCTGTTTACACTGTTACACCCGTGATCAAGAAACACAGACCCCCGGGAGCGTTTTGAAAGTGGTTAGTAGTGGGCAAATGCCGCAACTAAACCACCAAAGACATGTTTGCAAGTCTCCTTTTCCTGGGTTATAGTCTTACAGCCGGAGTGGCTCGCCACTTTCGTTCTTTGGCTGTGTGTTTGCGAACCCTTGTGCCATAGGAAACCAAAGGCAAGCGGAAACCAATCCTGTTGGGATAGCAGCCCACAGCACCTGATTAGTCCATCCGATCTGTGTGTGTGTGGATTGAAATCATGCTAGGCTTAGTTTCAACAAGCCTCGCCAATAATTTGACCAGTTTCAATTTTGTGGGAATCAGGTATTGGCGGATACCACCTCCGCTTGCTGGAGTTTCCCAATCCATGTTCGGGTCGCTTCAGCAAGAGCACTCAGGGAAGGTTTCGAAAAGGTTGAGCCGCCTTTCAGGTCAGCTGGTCGGTTCACCAGAGGTCCTGTTTCTTTGTAAGGCCAGGAATTCTCGACGTTCGATTCCCAGGATGGATGGATTTGGCCCGCGCGTTCTTGCGTTGTGTTTTGTTTTTGGTGTTTTTTTCCTCGGTTTGGGTCTGTGCGTGCACACCGTGAATTAGCGGTTGCCGAAGACTCGCTTCACGGTCCTCGGCAGGTTGTATTGTGTTTTCGTGTTTTTGTTGGTTCTGCTCGTTTTTAGTAGGGGGGTGAAGAAAAAAATGTTTGCTGCCATGCGGTTGTGAAGACTCGGAAAGTGCGACTAACCTTTCTCAGCCAGGAAAGCCTCCAAGAGGCTTTGGGCATCACTGCAGAAGACTCCGCCCCATACCCAGACCTGCTGCATGTGAGTCATGGGGTCCCGCTGGCGATTGTTCCACGAATGCCCAAACGATGCACCAACTGTTTTATACTGGAAAAGAACACTCCTTGCGATTTGTCCGAGAATGCCCAAACGATCAACATCGATCAACCAACTGTTTCAAACGATGGAAAAGAACACTCTTTGCAACCTCTTTTGACACAAACGAGACATCCTCGACAAAGGAGTGTTCTCTCCAATAGTTGTGTGTCGAGGCATGGTGGACTTCTCCACAAGACTCTGGGAGAGAACTCTCTGACAAGTTTGAACAGTTGATTCCACGCGAATTTGTTTGGGCTTTATTTGTGAGGGTTTGCCACTTGAGAGTTCCTTTTGGTTGGCTGACAAAGGCAAAGCAAAGCGAATGCCGCCATTTCCCCTAATGGGAGGGCAACACCATCTCCCCCTCTCGGAGACCCCCTTTTTCTGGCGGGCGAGCATCAGAGCAAAACAAGTCCAAGAAGTTGGCCGTTGGCCTACATTTGAGAGGAGAAGGAGAAGCTATGATGTTTCCACGGCCCGCACATTGAGACAGACCCAGTCGGGCGTGTCTTCCTTTGAGGGTACCCCTGTGCGGTTTTAAAGGGACGCCAGGAAAACCCGCGCATTTTAGGGATGCAACCCTAAAACCGACAGACCGAATTGGTTTGTGTCAAGGCGCACTGGACGCCCTCGGACCAATTTGCGTGCCCTCGCTGTGAGTGCAACAAATGCGCCCGGGCCTCGGTTAGGTGTGGCTTGATGTTGGTTTCCTTGAACCCGGACATGTTCTTTACCAGCTTTTAGATACAAGCAATTTCACAGTTGCAAAGCCAGTTTTCCAGTGAGAGATGCTTTCCAATTTAAACGCGTATTGATTCAGCATTTTTTCCACTGGAAAATGCTGTAGCAAAGATCAACGTTTTTGGTTGTCCATCCCTTGTATCCTTTGGCGTCCCTTTTTGGAGTTGGCGGTCCTTGGTGCAACCGCAACGAAGAGTACAAGCTCCAACAAAAACACCCATTGGGCCATGAATGTAGATGGCGGAAGAATGACTTCAAGAACAACTGGACATAAATTCCCATGCAACTCATGTCCACCAAAGGATGCCCAATCAAAATCTGTGCCCAACTGTCCCTACAGATGACTCCTCTTGGACAGGCCGAGTTAATGAGATCATGTTTGGAGGTCCAGAAGGTGAACCAGGAACCCTGGCCGAGGATCTTTGCTTTTGGCATGTTGGTCTTCTTTAATCCCTTCCGCCTGTTGTAAATCAAGTCCCTCCCCCTCCCCCTCCATATACTAAATAGTACTGTTTCAGAAACATATCTAGGGGGATAGGTACTTTAAACCGTAGTTTTAGAACTTTTAGAATCGTAGTACCCCCTGGGACTAACTACGGTCCACTTATATATCATAGTACTTTTTAAAAGGGTCCCACGGGGTCCTAGGCGGGGTTCCACTACGGTCCTCGTCCAAATGGGTTTTGCCCGGCACAAACACCGTCACAATCGTACTCTGCTGAGTAAGGAATTCCGCTTTGTAAGACATTACTCAAGGCAGTGCTTTGGATTTGTCAATTGAAATTGGAATGACGAATTTGAACTGCAATTTACCATTTGAGACTACAAGCGGAATTGCTGAAAGACCCTGAATACGGGTCAGGATTTTAGTATTGGGCAAACTAGAAGTAAAAGGGTAGAGGTTCCTTTGTTCGTCTAGTAGGGGTGGATTTATTAAACAGAGCGCAGATTAGTTCTCTTGGTCAAATCTGGATTGGGTACCAGCGGCCCGTCCCAAGCATGAGTCTTTTTTTTCTCGGTTGCTTTGAAAGGGAACTTAGGGCGCCAATCTGTTTTTGGACCTCACGCACGACTGAAATTCACAGTTTGTTTGGTGCCCTTTGTCCCTCGAAAAGAGGGTGTCCCTCCGATGAAAAAAGACTTGTGCGATGGGGAATGACAACGAGGCCCGGGTCTTGGGAATGGGCCGTTTTGGGATTCCCGAATTCAGGAAGCCACCAGTTGATATATTTTTTCCAGGTCATTCCCTTTCTTATTTCCTGCATCTCTCGAACCAGCCAGCGAGAGCCGCTGGAGGTGTGAGAACTTTGAAGGTTCGGACGAGACCCAGTGATTTACCTCTTGAAGTTTGATGCCCCGAGATGAAGCCCAAGGCTTCCCACAGAACGGTTTTCCCCAGAGTGTTTTTTTCCCAGAACGACGGCATTGGTTCTGGGTTCTTGGGGGTGCGAACCGAGCCTGTCCTTGAACAAAAATGCGTCTGGCAGAAGCACAACCCTGCACTCCGGTTGCCACGTTGCGACCTTGAGCAGACATTGAAGCCCTCAGTCCCTGTGAGGAGAAAACGAGAAGGGGGGACTATCAAATGTTCCCCTGTTTTCTCATAGGGGCGACCTACATGAGCCATCAGTAAGTGATCTGTTGCCTCTCTCCTGGCTCGACATCCGTGCCAGTGGTCAGTGCCAGGCTGCAATCATTCAAAAACAGCCAGACGCTGGCCTTCAGGGGAGCCAAAAGGAGGTGTGCAACACTACCCTCCCTCCCACGTTGCCATGGCACCTGTGGGAGGGTAGCTGGAAGATCAAGTTCCTTGTGGAGGGACCGGGTTCCTGTGAGGTGCCATGGCAACGTGGGAGGGAGGGTAGGTCCCAGGTACTGGTTGAGTCGCACCCTGCACGCCTTCGGCTCGTCGCGAGGTGTACATCCAGTCCTTTAAAGGCTTCCACAGTCATGACGACAACAACCAGGAGACGCTCACCGAAAGGCAAAGATCCAGAAAGCACAACGTGGGTTGTGTCAAAGGGGACCCCCAAAAGTGTGTCTTCATGGTACCTTTTGAGGTCAGGCTTGTGTATTGTATCTACACATATGTTTGGGTATCCAAAGTTTGTCCTCGTTCTGTGGTGGTCTCCCAATTTGAATTCGGATTGTCCCATGGTCCTCAGCGCTGTTAAAATAAAAGGCCCAAAGGGACTTGAGCGACTGTCGTTAGTTAGAGAAGACTACAGGAAAGGCCGGAGACATTTGTTGGGTAACTGGATAAGGTGCAGAACGAGGTCGGAACACCCCCAAAACGAGGTGAGGCCATGATTGCTGAGATATCAGAAACACATGCGTAGGCAAGGTGGGAGCATCCGACCTAGAGGGGGTTCAAGCTGTAGGAGCCGGTGATTACCATCCGCTGCACCTCCTGCAAGCACTTGTGGAAGGAGGACGAGGCGCCGCATGCCTCCGCCGTTTCTCACATTTGTAAGACGGGAGGGCCCAAAATGGGTGTGGCTCGTGTTTTAAACAAAAAAGGCAAACCGCAGGTTTTGGTCCATGTTTCCACTTAGGGTTCCATTTTGGTACCGGTTTTTTGAGCCACAGCCAAATGGGTATGCCTTATTTGAGGGTGCCCTCTTCGCCTTAGGAGACAAGTTGGGGGTGCCAAATTTAAACACATACCCAACCTTTAAAGCCGCATTCTGCCATGATCATGAGAGACTCATGTATGATGTCATGTCTCACATGTGGACCGGGAAAAAAAGAAGAGTAGTGGAAACAAACATATTGCAATTCTCATGCCGCCCAAGCATGAAAGGACGTAGGCTTGGATAGCTGAGGGCTTTCGCAGGATCAACCTCAAGCTTGGGCAACGCGGGAACGCGGGAACGCGGCGCTCGCGGTCGGATTTGCTGCTCTCTCTGCCGATGGCAGATGTTGCGACACTTGACCCGAGCCATGTTGTGTTTCTCGGAAAGCCGGATAAGTTGCCGGCGGCTAACAAATCGTTTGGATGTCTTAAGCAACTCCTCGGGGCTGACGTAAGGAATCCAAGGCCGAGGCATCGATTTATCTGGTTTTGCCACGATCTATCGCCCAAAGCCTCCGGCTTTTGCTGCGTATCCTGAGCCGCCAGGAAATCGATTTTGGTCGCCACTGAAAGCCCGACTTCAGCGGACTGTCCCTTCCGCCGGCCAGGTGGAAGGAGGCCGTATGGCCGCTGGCAGTTTCGAGGCCGAAGGGATTTGGGTCAGGCGAGCGAAACCATGCTGTGGATGGGCGAAATCCATTTCGCACCACCAAAGAAGCCATGGAAACCATTGTTTGTTGGTATTTATAAGGGAATCATCATTCCAGGGTTTCTCAGGTGCAGGATTTTGTTCATCCGCAGGGACTTTGATAGCCAAGGTGTGCAATCGCCCCATATCGCCCCCAATCGGGTACGCCCCCAATTTGTTGTGACAAAGTAGAGGCTATTGAATAGGCTCCCTTCCAAGTCCTCTAATGAACCGCAAGCTAACAGTCTGTATTGACCGCTCCTCATGTTCATTCACCATCTGAGGGGTGTCTCAAAATAAGAATCAGCACCCCCAAAATGCTGAGGGTTCTTGTTGGTTTCCCTGTAAACCAACCTAAGCTGGCCCCAACTCCAAAAAAGAACAGCCATGTCAGCTGTTCCTGAATTGGGAGTTTGGATTGAAACCAAAACCCTGAATTGGGGGTTTGGATTGAAACCAAATGGGGAAGGTCGCCACAAACCAATGAGGTGGAAGCTAGCCACTGGGCTGTCCTTACCAACCCTCCAAAGGGGACCAGCTGAAAACACACACGCCAAAAGAAAGATCGATCGGACCAGTTGTTCGTTGAGGCTGCGCTTCTTGAAATTGAACAGGGAAAGTGAAGGACCGCCAGCGGCACCCGAAACACTCAAGAACAAAGGCTTCCCTTTAACTACGTGCAAAAAACTTGTTCTACCTTCCAACCAAAACCTGGTGGTTGGGGTTCCCCTAGAATCGAAGACAAGCCCAGTACCTCGGTGTGCGGGAAGCTTTGTTTGCGTGGTTCGCTTGCAGGAAGAAAGTCTGTTGACTTGGGGAGTTCGGCAGGATTGCAATGGCGTGGTGAAGACCGAGAGGACTGAAGTGCGAGCCATCGCCATATCTCGTGGGTGGATTGGGACAGGTAGAAGGTTCCGTTTTGAGGGTCCAAGGTTCCAACCCTGGAACGGCATCCTTATATTATCACCCTCACCCATTTGGCCATGTTGGGATGATGTTTTCCCTCTAAAGGGGCCAACTCTGGGTGTGCCTTTCTTTACACTACCTTTGTTTGCTGTGGGTGTTTTTCTTGGAGTTTCAATTCTAGGGCTCCCTCAGGTTGAGATGCACCCAAAGGCACCCGAAGAAAAAACAGAAAGCGCTCTCAGGAGCGAAGCGCCGGCCATCTGGGGTGGCGAGGATCGAGCGGAGCCCTGGCTGCTGCCGGCCTCCTCCTAGCGAAGCCAACGCGAAGCCGTTTCGCGCGAACCCGACGCACGCGCGCGCGGAAAAAGGCGAAAAGGGGCGAGATGGGCACAAAGGATTGGCCAGCGTGATAGTTGTCTTTTTCTTGGGAAGGACCTTCATGTTAAAAACGAATCACCCTTGTTGGGTTAGTTTACAGGAAAACCTAAAGCAAGACACCACCGTATTTGTTTGTTTGCTTGTTTGTTGTTTTTGTTTTGTTTTTTCTTTTCTTTTTTTTGGGGGGAGGGGAAGGTTCTCTAGCAAGTGTTTCGCCTCAAGGCTTAGAGAGTACTAGTTCGACATCCCAGAAAACGGCACTGAAGTGAATCTGTTTCAAGATGTAGCCTTGCAAGAGCAAGCCTATACAGACCCATGGGTTTTGTTCTTGAGGAACCTGCCCCCTGTTGCCCAAAGGAGACCAGAAGGAACAGCTTCCGCCTTCCGCCATGGTCCTTTATTTCGGGATCCCTTACTTCCGTGGTGCTCAGTCGGGAATGACCCATTATGGGAATGAACCTGAGGATTTCCTTAAAGGAAACCATAGGGGATGGATGGGGATGGTTGAAAAAGGGGTCATTCCCTCATTCCCGGCTGAGAAAACAGAAAGCTTCAGGTTTCGGATTTCATCATTGTTACCTCCCACCAACTAACATGGAAGTGCACAAACCCCAATTCCAAAAGGAAAGTCGTCTCTTTCAAGGGGCTGTGCACTTCCACGTTGGTGGGAGGGTAATTGTGCAGATCCTTTGAGACGTGCCCCTTTGAAAGGGCGCGACACCCGGCGTGCAAAGCGGAGTGTCATTCTTCGCGCCATTAGTTTGCGCGAGCAAAAGGAGGCGCCTGAAGCTCAAGAGCATCTTCGCGTTGAACAACTGGGTGTGAGTTAAAAGAAGGGACCCCTTCCCAAACCCTCCAAAGCAGTTGGTTTCTTCTCCGAGTTTCTTCAAGTCGACCTTTAGTGGGAGTTCTGCAGTGTTTTTTTAACACACACCCAAGGCGTCGATTACGTTGAAATTTTCGAAGCCGCGGTTTGTGCTGCTCCGAAAGGACCGCATCGGCTGGAACCCGAACCAGACCTCGGTGGGCAAATCCGCGCCTGCCTGAGGGTCCGCCGGGTGGGCCTCTAGGCCTAGGGACCCACCAGAAGCGCAAGAAGTGGCATGAAGCCTCAAGCAGCTGAATCGGAATGGCCAAGACGCGTGAATTAGGGGTGTGTGTGTGTGTGTGCGTGTCAATGAGTCACAAGAGTGAAGAAGGGGGGTCCAACTGCCCGTTGCCAGGGATGATCTAACATTTCGGAGAGCCGAGATTCAGAAGCCAAGTGAAGCCGAAAGCACCTCTCGCCGTCCCTGAAAAACGAGCCCCAAAACTGGTTGAAAATATGGGTGGCAAACCAGTCAAGAATGTGCGGCCATAAGTCTAACTTCTGATCTTCCATTTGCCTAAGAACATGTTTCATGTTTTAGCCTGTTTGTTTTACAGGACTACTGGAAATATGTTTATGTTTTCCAGGGGGCTTAAGCAAATGGAAGTGATGTCTTTGGGAAGACCAGTTTGGGATGCTCTTTGGCCAACTGAAGTGAGGCATTTGGGTGTGTCTCTTGTTTCCCCGCTAGTTCCCCCGCAAACAGTACCGACGAAGACACATGGATGGACAAAAGTCTTGTCTCAGATCCCAAGTTCTTTTCGGGTTTGGACCATGTTTAGTGGCATGCAAAAAGTCTGGGGACGTTTGGACCATCGACTCAGGAAGTGAGTTGTAGATTAAATTCATATTGGTTTTATCCATCCCACTTACAGGAGAAGGCAACCCATTAAGTGGGCAACAGCCATGGTTCGAACCCACTTAGGAGACTTACAACCATGGCAAGCGCGTTATAGCGATGGTTATTCCCTACTTACTTAGCTGATCGCTTTTTTAGGCACGCGAAGGATCTTTGTGAAACGCCACCCATTTGGGAGAACGAAACAATTCCTTTCGCTGAGTCCTCCTCCAAGCCAGCTGAGCCCGGACCCAAGCATGAGAGCACAGGCGGTACCGTCTTTCTTAGGTGCGAGAGATGCAGAGAATTGGAATGACACTCGTAAAACCATCTAGCTGGTGGTTGGTTTCCTGTAAGTGCGAGAGCAGAGAATGAGAATTGGAATGACCTGAAACTAAATGGTTTCCTTTCAGGGGACCAAAGCCTGGGTTCATTGAATCACACTCCCTACCTCGCGCACCAGCAAGTTTTGGTCGTCAGAAGCCAGGACCTTCAGTGGGGCGTTTCCTTTCTTCCAGGTCCATTGGAAGGGTCAGGTAGGCATGGGAGTTTCAACATCACCAACATAGCACAGATCTAGGGGTTGAATTCCCATTCTTTTCTTTTCAACCGTCGTTCTTTTCAAACACCGCTGTTTCCCCTGCGTTGTTTGATGGTTTCCTGAAAAAAAGATCCCGGAAAGAATGGGGACGGTACCCCTAGAACAGAGGTAAAAGCAGCCTGCCCCTCCATGCTGACTTGGTAGGCAGAGTTGCAACACCCGAGTTTCCAGGGCAATCACCTGCTTTAATCAGGGGTTGACTCATATCCCTTGAAAGAGGTGATAGATTTGCAGGGGTGGTTCCGTGGCTGGGTTCAGCGGGAGCTCGAAACATCTGCACTTGCGCTATGCAAGTTCCCAGCTTCCATGGGGTGTCGGACCAGGTGGGTAGTCATGGTTGTTGGGAAACATGCGGCACATGCGTGCTTATTGTGGTTGAGTGGTTGAAATCCAAATCCACTGAACTGCTGAAATTTGACTCAGTAGTTCAGTGGCACCAATTATTTTCCCCTTTTTTTGGGTGGCCCCACTAAAAAACGCGGTCGTCCCAACAAAGAGTTCCCTTTTTTTCCGGGGTCACTGAACAACTGAGTGGAAGATCCAACTGGTGAGACTGCCCCGCAAGAACAGCATGCAACCCAAAATCGGGTTTGTTGAAGATGCTCTTGCCAAGAATTCCTGGATTGATTCTTCGCGTCCTGAGTTGAATGGTTGGTCTTCCAACGTCCACCAAGTCCTTCCCCTCAACATCCGAATGCTCTGAGTCCTCAGGCCGAACCGCACGCTCTTCGTGGAGAACCTGCCTCAAGAGGATGGGGAAGCCACCCGAAAGTACATCTGCCAGGGAGCCAACCGATCTTGCATTTTCCCTTTGTTGGTGTTAAAGGGAATCTGTCACCCCTGTTTCAAAGGGAATTTGTCTCTATGATGTGTTTTGGCTCCAGGGGGCTGAAGCAAATGGAAGCTATGGAGGGGGGCGTTTTCGCGGTATTTTGGGCATTGCGCAGGCGACGGACACCATGCTGTCGATGCTTTTCCGACAGTATCCTGGATTCCAAGAGGCAGGCAGCCGCAGTGCTTCTTTCTATTCGATCTTGCCCCAGACCTCCTTTTTTCGAGGGGGTTCCCTTTGTCAACGCGAAGAAAAGGGTGCCCTTTCTGTGGGAGATCCAGATATATCCGCCTCCGGATCTCCCGGGGAAGTCCGACAGTGGTTTGCCATTGAACCGATCGGGCAGGTGGAGCTGAAGTTAATACTTTGTGCTTGGCTCGACAAATATGACCTGTGCCACCACACCATGGGATCAAGGCCACTTTACATGTTTCAGACTTTGAGGAAAATGGCAGCACAGATGTTTGTCTTCAAAATCTGCGACCTCGACATGAGATTTGTTCAGGTCCACGAAATGCGGCCCAGAATCAACATGTTGTTTTGGGTGTTTGGTTCAAAAGCTGAGGTAGCAAAGACTTTTTTTCTTGTCGATCAGGTGCGCCTGATCCCGGGGCGAAATGTCGCCTTCGCGGACTATCAGAATGAGTGCCCGTCGTGAGGAGAACCGATGGCCAAAGACATCCTGGAAATCTGGTGGGTTCTCTCCGGTCACAACATGCTGAAGCCAGTTGACTTGCTGCAAGAGGTAGGGGATGTGATTGAATGAACCCAGGCTTTGGGTCCCCTAACCACCAGTTGGATGGTTTAGTTTCGGGTCATTCCATTTCTCATCCCCTGCATCTCTCGCACCGATCGCAAGAAGGTGGTTGGTCTATCCCACTGACGCCTTTGTCGTGGACTCTTCGGGATTCAGTAAATGTGGTCTGAGAACCAACAAGAAAACCAGCAGTGCTTGGACTTCCGCAATGGAATCGGGTGTGAGTTTCGCCACGAGACTCGTCATGTCTTTCGTACAGGAAAACAGATCTTTTAAACGGAGGACAGGACGGTGATTTCGGGGGCTCCCGTTGGACTATAAGATTTGCAGCGCCAGGTATCAGGCTGGCATGGCCATGCAGGGCTTGCAGGGCTTCGAGATGACTCCGGATGTGAGGCGCAAGGGGCTTTAAAGGGGCCATGGGCACCAATTCATTGTTGCATTTTGCTTGGATGTTAGGACTTTAACTTTTTGCCAACTCATGGGTGTTCCATGAAGCCACTACAAGTTAAATTTTTAGTAGGGGAGCAGAAAGCAACCGAGGATCGGTTTCCGTGTCTGGGCGCCTTTGGCTAAGCAACATGGCCATGAAGTAAACCACTCGCGTGGATTTGTTGCGGTCTCGGGTTGCTTGGGTAGCTGAAGGACTGAAAGGAAAGGGTCAATGGGCGTTTCCCGAACGAGCCGCTGAAGGAAACAGAAGCAGCTTGCGAAAGCCATGTCGGTTCAACATGGAGTGACAGCACCAAGCTTGAAGCTTTGATGGGTTCGAAGCATTTGTGCTTTGAATCAACCTACTCAGATCACCCGCTTAAGGGCTAAAATAGGGAGCATGTACCAGGGAAAGCCTGCCGTTTTTGAGTATATTCTAAAAAAGCGGGCATTTGGAGGGGGGAAGAAATCCCACCACTTGGCAGGTGTTCCGGCTGATTCTGAGACATTGCGGGACATTCCGATACACAAAAAAGGATTCGGACAGGCTCACGCAAGGGTGGTACCTCATGGAGGTGTTCAACAAATGGTTTATCACCCCAATCACCTAGCTAGCTAGGTGCCCAAATAGACCTCCCGTATAAGACCCTTACCAAGGTTCTCTTAAGCATAGATTGTTCGTTGCGCGAGGTTGAGCCTCTCCTACGCGAGAAAGTGAGGTGCTGTGCGTGGCGAGGCGGGAAAGTCGGCCGATTCCATCGGATTGGGAGACCTGCCCCAAGGCACCAAGGGTCCAATCGAGGCCAAATTCCACGTGGGAGATGCGGTCAACCCGTGAGGTGTGATTTACCTTGGCCGTGTTTCCCAAAATGTTGGCCCACCTGGAAAGATCTCTCAGACGGCAGTGAACTTACTTCCACTTGCTTAAGAATGTTGTTCATTTCCCCTGGTGGCTTTAAAGGGAAGTTGTCACTGCTGAAAATATGTCTATATTTTTCCAGGGGACCTAAGCAAATGGAAGCTCAGAGGGAAATCGTGTGGGAGCCCATCGCATGGCGTGGCGTGGCCAGGATGCGCTCCATATGAGCTCGACACCGATAGGGGGAACCCCGATGGATCGGTGAAAAGATGCGAGCGACTCAGCCAACTCCAACGGCTCCCACCCAACAGCGATATCGCTTCGACCCACTTGGGCAGATGCCAAGCTCCTCAGTCCAGGACGTATCCAATCCTTTTGCAATCGGGGATGTGCAAGAGGCCATAACCAGAGCTTTGGTCGGTCGAGCATGTGTGGAACTCTTGGTGGTTTTGACACTTGGCACCCGGAAATTGGTTTGCAGTGCACCGCATTTTCAGCGCACCGCATGTCTGCTGTTTGCAGCTTAGTTTAGCGGTAGAAGGCTTCAGTCTACCGGCGGCTGGCCGTTGCCAGATGCCCAGATCCGCGCTTCGCTTTGAATTCGATGTGGATTCGGCTCCGATTCTGTGTGCTGAATCCAAGTGAGCAACGCCCAAAACCCATATTCTTACACGTCCTGTTTTCATGGGCTTTACAACCTTGCTATTAGAACCAAATGTCAATTGGTCTTGGGCGCTGCTCCATGCTTCCATGCTTGAGCACTTGCAAGGTGCATGAAGGAATGTCATCCTTTGATGGCCTGCCCAGAGAAGAACTGATGCAGAAGGCGCATGTTTCATGTTCGAGCGCTTGGCATGATGCTGTTTCAACAGGTTGTCGAGCTCCAGCAAGGTCTAGCAGAACTCTCAGAAAAGGCGGGCTCTGCATGGCTGTGGCAGTTTCGCCTCAAGTTCTGAGATCTCTTTTGACATGCTCGACATACTAGGGTTCTCTAAGTATTGCGCCAGAATCTGAAAGTGTCTTTGTTACTTGGGCAAAAGTGAGGTAATAATTGGCAGCCCCCATCACATGAGATAGAAACCCAAAGGATGATTCAACTGTCTTTGCCCTCAACCCCGGCAAGGGTCCCATGGTAAATCTGTCGTGGATAGGTTAGTTCGTCCTTTTGCCTTCCTTCTGGAAGCATCGGAGGGAGTTGGTTGGAGAAGACCATCAGGGAACTCGCCATATGGCCATGCACTCCATTGGCAAACATGGCAACCAAAAGGAGGCCATCGTTTTGAAAAACGTCCCATATGGGCCTGAAGTTGAACTAGGGACTCTTTGGTGGACAGCATTTAGGGGGGAAACCATACTTTTGAGGTGTTTCCCAGGCCAAAAAAGTCATGGCCGTGTGCAACGTAGCGGCAGCGCCAGGTTGACACCGTGAAGGGCGAGAATACGCAGCTGCGGGAGGAGAAGGGACCACTTGGAAGATTTCACCCGAGTCAAGGGGATGAGATGGGGCAAGCCCAAGCATCCCATGTAGGACATGAGGGGCTCGCCTAAGTTCCAAGTTGGGCAAAGAATACCACCGTGGCTCATGCGTCATACGGGGGTACTCCCCACAGGATCCAAGCCATAGCAAGTGACCAGGAGTTTTATATGCCTCTTGGCGGTTCCCAACCGGTAGGCCTCTAGACTTTGAGGCTATGACATATCTCTAAGAGACGGAAGTTAGCCCAAGCCCCTGGCCTTTTGCCCAACCCCCTGGCTTTTCCGGGCATTTGGCTTAAAATGTCTGCTGGTTTGTTGAAATATCCCGTGGGTGCTCCCTTGGGCTTGGATCCTGTGGGCTATCCCGTCTGAACCCGGTGGGGTTCAGGGAAGCCGAGCCTTTCCGGACTTCTCGACGACAAAATCGAAACGGGATGCCGAGCCGACCAATTCTTGAGGAGAACAACGTCCTAAAGGACTACCTCAACAATTTGATGGCCAAGGCACCTTGGGAAGCAAGCTTGGGGCCGGGAATAAAGCTTGTGGCCGGGAATGACTCAGGTGTCAGGGAAGTTATTGGCACCCTTCCCTTTGGTTTCCCTTGAACATCAAAAATATCGAAAAAGGAGGTACCCTCAAGAAACATGTAACATATATCTGTTATACATACATACATATATATATATATATATGTACGCGTTGAGCTTTTCTCCACCCCCCCCCCCAATGTAACACTCAGCCGGGAAACACCCACAGTGGAAGCGACTGGCTTTGACCAGCCATGATATTTTTGGGCGAGTCTTTTGGGGGTGCCTGAGTCAGAGGCGTCTAACCAGAAAGTTTCGCTAGCCAATGGGAGGCGCTCGAAATCGCAGTGTTGGTTTGCTATCGTTTTTTGTCATGAAGCTTCCTTTCTTGGAAGGGTCCTTATTTTCAGTTGAATTATTCCAAGTCGCACATGCTCTTGAGCATGGGAACAAGGAGGTCACGTTCAAACCAGAGTGCCCAAGCAGGCTCCCTTTGGCGTCACCCAGGCCCTCAAGTCGTCTGGAAAACGGCTGGTTGCCTCAGGGCTGAAAGAACTTTCAACCACAAGAGGTACCCACGCGGAAGTCACAAAATGGACCGCAGCTTGACGCAAAAATCCTCCTCCCCCCCGTCTTTTGCAATGCTGACGCCAGATTCATAAAACCTGAGAGGTACATCAGCTCCGCCAAAAACGAGTCGCACGCCCCTCTTCTCCTTTTTGTTTATGGTATCGAAGGAAACCCTGGCAGGTCAAACCCAATCTGCTTCTTCTTCTTCTTCTTTTTTTGGTATCAAAAAAAAACAAACAAAAAACGGCAGGTCAAACCAACGCGAATGTTTTTGTTTTTTGGTGGGAGCCAGAGCTTCCGGTCGACGTTCCACTCACCTCAGTGGGCCCGTGTCCAAATGCCCTTGTTACTCCTTGGAATGAAGTTTTCTACCGCATCCATGCAAGTCGGATTCTAAATCAACTTTTTTCGAAACGGGCGACACCTTATCCAAGCCACAAGCAACTGCTGCGCTTCCCTGGCATATGCCTCCAGCCACTCGGGTTTTCTCCGAACCAGGTGTCCCACCCCAAGTGGGGGTTGACACGAAGTTCGATCAAAAGTTGTTTGGAGTTGTCCCCCCCACAATCTGAAACCTTCAAGGAGAATCGCCTCTGAACAACCGCTCTATGGAATCACCTTCCAGCACCTCCCCGGAAATCTCTGGAACCCTGCCTAGCATCCATTCCATGCCCAGGAAAAGTTTGGAAGCCTCCCAAAAATGTGAGGGGGTGACACCAAATTGTTCTCAAGAGTTGTTTGGAGTCCTCCCCCTGTCCCTTGTGGAGTCCCTGAAATCCCTGGGAGTCGCCCTCAGGTTGGGAAGATGCCGAACCTGGGCACCACGGCGCCCTCCAAGGTGATGCTGCAGCAGAACCCCGACGGCGCGCAGCCGGCCGGGGAGCCCACGAATCGCCCATAGGGGCGGTGCGATTTGCGGGCGAAAAATGCGAAAGACAAGGCAGAATCTTCGAAAATGTTGTTTTTCGCAACAGAATCTCTGGAATTTGTGTGTTTCTGTGGACAGATGTGGGCCGCCCCTCTCCAAGTGCCCTCCTTTTGTGTAAGGCAAAGAGGCACCTTGCTTTGGAAACCTGGTTGTTCAACATTGACCCTTGAAGAAGCAGGCATGTGGAGTGGGGGGAATCAATCTTCCTTTCGGTGGACTACGTTCTTTTGGCGCCTTCAAACAAGTGAGCAGTTTTCGGTGTACCCAAGAAACTGGAGTTGGAGTGGGATACATTTCTTGAATGCCCTTTACTAATACCTGCCGTTTGGTATTTGACGACATTCTGCGTATAGCAAATACCTCCTTGTTTGCCCTTAGAGAAAAAGGAAGGTTGAAGACAACGGAGGTGAAGGTGAACGACCACATCGGCGAGCTGACCGCTCCGGCCATGGACGATTGAGCGTCGTCTTGTTCCCAGCGCGGGCGAAAATTCGGCGGCGAATTCGAAGAGTTCGGCTCAGGCGCAGCTTGGAAAATGGGCGTGGGAAGTCAGGCGCAGGCCATGGCAGGTGCCTATAATAGCTCTTATAGAGCCTCCAAAGAAAGCTGATTATTGGTATATTGTTCAGTGTCAAAGAGTGTCTGAAACTATATTTGTTTGGTCTACCCTGGGCTTGGGCAAAGGCGACAGGGATTTGTGTGTTCGTCTCCCGCCTCTCCATGCGTGTTTGAAGGAGTTATTCAGCTGGGAAAGATGGCTTCTGCCCCAAAGCGCTGATGTCTACAAACGCTATCCACTGCAAGGGTAGAGATCCAATTTCTCTGATACGCGCTTGGGGCCAATCTCCAAGCTGGCAAGGCAAGCCGCGCGGATGGAAAGGGCTTCCGCTTCTGCGGAGTCAAAAACTGGCGTTGGTGAATGGAATGGATATCTCGGCTCAAGTCATTCGATAACGCACCGATTTCCTTGTGACCAATGAGCGCAACTGAGCTGCGCAGACTCTGAGGTCCTCGTCTCCTGGTTGAAAAGACCCCCCGGCGGGCCCTTGATTCCCATTTGGTTGAAGGGGGGCATTTAAAGGTATCGAACATGGAGCGAAAAATACGTGTTGACTTGCAAAGAGGTTGGGCAGGGTTGGGAACCCCACGGGTAGGGGCCCTTTTGGGCATGACACACACGCACACACGCACACACGCACACACGCACACACGCACACACGCACACACGCACACACGCACACACATGCACGCACAGCTTGAAACCCTTGACCAACTTTCTACATTGAGGGCATCACTCTGGTTTTGACACCCTCCCCCCTTGCATGGCGGTGTCTGACTGTCTGCTTGCCTCATGTTTGTGATTTGGTTGAAGTTACGTTGGTTTGCAAATAGAATTGGGGAGTTATCAAACAAAATGGCCCCTTTTTGGACCCTGGTGCCGCCTTGTGCGGCCTTTTGAAGGGGATACCAAAAAGGGACCCGAATTGTGAGAACCACCCAAGTCATGGCTAAATGTGCTTGCTTTTTGATGGCAATGAGGGAGTCCCTTTCAGAGAGGACCATGGCCCAAATTCGGGCAACCAGATAGTGGGGAGACATGGACGAGTTTGACGAGAACTCAAGGCTTGTCTTTTGTTCAGTTGGTACCCCTTTGTTGTGTTGTTTAAAGAGATACCAAAACAGAAAAGCCCACAACATGATGGGTCTAGCCAAAATTTCAAGAACACCCTTTCAACGCCCTATGGGATTCGCCTGAGTAAGGCTTGTCCACCTTCTGACAATGACAAAGCCATCCGAATTCAGAGTCGCCTAGGTGCACCCCTGGAGGCGCGTTGAGGGGTTTGGTGGCGTTGGGTGGGCTTTTTGGATTTTTGGTTGGGTCTTTGGACGATGGGGCTCTGGAGTTCCATGGGTGTTGCGTGTTTTGTGTTGCCTTTGGGACTTCCATTGGAAGGAGCATGTTGTAAGCTCCTTTGAGTCGGAGTGGGCTGATTGTCTCCCGGTTTTGGTATGGCCACATGGTTTGTGGTGATATCGGGCAGACAGAAACCGAACTAAGGCAGAAGCTGCCCACACAAGCATCCAGTGCTTGTTGCCAAAATGGTAGGCAAGGGGAGTTCAACAGGACACACTGGGCAAATCCCTTGTTGTTACATCACCTGGTCCATTCCAAGAAACATGCCTCGTACTCAATACTGAACGATTGTGGTTTCCTTTAGGTTTCCTTGTAAACCAAGGTGAAAGGCGGTCGAGCCATAAAAAAGACCCAGCTGACAAGAAAAGAAGGACTTTACAGCAAAGTGTTTGAAAACATACCACAAAAATCCATGGATATTGGACATGCTCTTCCCACAGGATAAGGGGAATCGCGGTTTTCCCTGGGCCTGAGCTGACAGGTGAGATGAGTTTCAAGGTGCCGCCCCACTTTTTGCAGGCGCGGAGTTCTTTGGGCAAAGAAGTCGTGTCCTGTGGGGCTCTCAAGATGGGTTTTGGAGCCTGTGGGATGTTTGTTTGGGGAAAGCAAAAGGAAACCCACTTTGGGCGTCCTTTGACACGTACCCAGATTGGCAGGGTCTACAGGATGGCATGGATTATGGGTGAATTGACTACTTGCCAGCCCACTCTGCGTTGTCCATCTTTTCCCGCGAAAGAAACATGTATATCATTGATGTTCAGGTTGGCCCAAAACCCCACGGCTTTTCTAGGTTGAAAGCCGTGTGTTGGCCATAAATAATAGTTGTGTTTGTCTCAAACTGGGAATCGGTCAACCACCAAAATAGCAACGGTTGCCTTTTGGATTCCCTTTTAATACTGTATGTGGGGGTGTGGCCTTGCTGTTTTGTTGGGGAGGGGGGGGAGCCAAAATGGCAACGGTGTCCTTTTGGATTCCCTTTGAAACCCAACCACCAACCGAAACAAATCACCGTTTAATACCAAAAAGAACGCTTAAACCCAACCAACCAGAAAGGCAATCACCGTTTAACACAAAACAACACCTTTCAAACCCAACCAACCAGAAAAAAACAACCCACCGTTTGATTCCAAGGAAAAAGAAAGAAGCACCGAGAAACCTGAGCCGCCCATCTGGCCCCTCGCGTTTTTCTCCGCGAGGTGGCTGTGCTGGCGTTGGCCCTGAGCCTCGAAGTGCTCCTTCCGCCGGTTCTCACGGAGGCCGGGGGGGGGGGGGGGGAGGTGCAGTGACTCCCTCGAAATGGGGAGATCCCTCCGTCTTTTCCTCCTTTTTTTGTTGGAAAGCGGGGGGAGGGGGGGAGTTCCGCTGTTTGTTTCTTTCTTTTTTTGGAGGGAGAACTCCTTTTTTTGGTGGGTTTTGAAGGGAGACCCAAAGGAAGACCGAAGCCATGGGTCCGATTCCTGAAAGAAAACCCACCCACGGGTGTGTTTTTGGGTGTGCCGTCGGGAGTTCGCCGGGCGATCGACCTGAGGTTTGGCATGCGACCGATTTGTTCTGTCGTTCCCTGCCGCATGTTTGGCTGATTTCAGGTTGGTGAGTTGTCAAAAGTCACCCAATCCAAATCGGCGCGTGAAATATTCACATTGCACCCCAGTTGTTGTTGTGAGGGATCGAGTGCATTTAGGGTTTCTGGGCCGTTGCTTGAAAGAGCGTGCTGCCAGGAGATCGGCCTAGAGGACGTGGAGGCGAGATCGCCACAAACGCTTCAACTGCACGGGCCATTTTTGTTTTGCATTCTCGCCGAACGGCCCTCGGGGACTTGGTGCAAGGCCCTTTGAAGACGCCATCTCAAGTCAGTACGGCTTTGGAACCCTTCATAGGCCGCCAGGCCAATGGTTTCGTGTCAATGGGCGATTCCTGGCCATGGCTTTTTGTTGCGAGTCAGGAGACCATGCTGCTACAGACCAGCATGGGTCCAGCAGAGGACCATCGAATACAGAGTCCCAGCTTGCGCCGATGGCTAGAAATCGTGAATTCAGTGGCTGTGGCTCAAAAAAACAGTACCAAAATGGAACCCTGGTAAGTGGAAACATGGACCAACACCTGCGTATCCTCTCCTGTTTGATTTTGAGCCACACCCAGTGTTGGCCAGGTTTGCAAGGACCCTTTTTGTTTCCCCTGCACGTTCACTTCGGATGTTCTTGGTGCTGGCTTGGATTTCCTTCCTGCGCGTCAGGCAGACAAACACCAGCACCACCACCACCACCAGCACCACCAGCACCACCACCACTACCAGCCCTGCCAGGACATGGAGCACAGCTTCTTGGCGTCTGTGATGAGAAGGCTGGGATATGCCAAATGGGGACAATGGCCATTTGTCACCTCAGGTCCATAGATGTCCAGTGGATTTCCAGTGGACTGGGAATCACATGCCAGTTTTTTAGTGGACTACCCAACACGAAATACGTCCTCATTCTCCCTTGAAGCCAGTGTATTTGTTATCTTCCCGACACCTTACTAGACACTCAGCGAAATTCTGCTGGGATAGTCTCATCCGAAGCAATCCGTTCAGCGGTTTTTCCGTGAGTGGATTCCCTGCACAGATTGCTGCGATCTGGCGGCAACAGCGAGGCAGGGCGCTGGTTTCTCATGCCCTCTGGGTTTCTCTGGGTTTCTGAGAACAGGATTCTGCAATCTGCCCCGAGGAAAAGACCAAAATGAGCAGGGTGGGTCACATATTCTAAAGGACTCCTTGGTTTCAGTCCTTGCATGGGAAGAAGGAACCATGGTGAGATTTGAGTGCGACAGATTGCCTAACCGATACCCGCCAAATGCAGAGGGTCCAAGATCAAAGAAAGATGTTTGTTGTTGGATTCCATGTCAATCTGCAGATTAGATTGTAGCTAGTCCCTGCTTCGCTTGACTTGGAAGGCCTGTGCTCGTCGTCTGTGCCTCAGGTGCGTGTTCTCTGCAACAGGGCCCAAATTGCAGGTCAGACGAAAATCGAAAGTACACAAAGAGAGGCTCGTTTTCGTAACACAGTGACAGTGACGCTATCGACGAGAGGTTTGTTCGAGCATGCGGACGGGTTGAGTTGAACATGGTCCCAGGGCTGAGGAATGGCGGGTTTTGAGTATTCCTTATGCGTCTTGGGGATTTTACGTGTCACAGAGTTGAATCATAGCCAGCTAGAGGAAGTTCTACAGAACGTGTCCAAATATTCACCGAAACCAGGGGGTTAAGCTTTTTTTTTTAGAATCTCCCTAGCTGCTGCCTTAGTTTTTTTAGCGAGGAGCGCTTTTGGTTCAGGCACAACCCTCTGGACCGTCGCGGCCTTCGGCTTCGCTTTCCTACAATCCGGCGCCCGGCTTAGACCGACCGAAAGTTCGCGGGATCAGTCCGGGGCAAATCCGTAGAGCTGACGCGACTGAAGGTTGTTGAATTCTGGAACGAACAAGAAAAATGCCTCCCGAACTTAAACGTACAAGATAAATACCTCCCGAGACGGGCCGGGTATCGAAACCCCGAGACGGGCCGTTTTTGGCTTCCAACAGCTTGAAGAAAAAAAAGCCGGGAGTTGTGAGCCCAAAAATCCAAGGCGTGAAGGACGTGGTGCTACTCAGCATTTGAACCGCGCGCCGGGCAAACTGGGCTCCATGGGGAAACATAAGTTGATGGTAGTAGTGAAGAAATGTGCAGCAAATTTGTATAACACGTACACGTGTTGCAAAATGAATATTGATTTGCCACCTGTGCTTGGGAACTTGTGAAAGATGTGTTTCAAGTCGAACCCAACCGTGCGCAGAATTCACGCGTCCGATGCATGGCGCCGGCTCTAAACATTGGGCCATCGACGCATCGGCTCCATGCGAATGACCAGCGAAATCCACGAGAAGGGGCTTTGAGCCGAGAAGATGTGTGGAGAAAAGGCAGTGCGGGCTGGGAAACGTCCCTTTTCCTCCAAGATAACGTCTCCCTGTTTTAAGCCAAAAGTTGTTGACATAACAAAGACCTCTCCTGCAATGACTCAAGATTAAAGAGGATCTGAAACATATTAGGTGTACGCTGAGGGGTTGGGTCAAGAAAAGGGTGCCCTATGTTCCCATCTGGAAGTTTGGGAAGTGGACAGAGGATGTCAGATGGGATAACTCGGCTCGTGTGAGTGATCATTCCGTGTTGTTGCTTTTCTGTTTGCATGGGTGCCAAGGGGAAGAGGCAGCTTGAGAGTTTCAAACCGCCTCCATTCATGTTGCCACATGAGTGTGTCTTTTTCGAGGGTACCCTGTTTGGGGCGTGTTGTTTGTTTTGTAAAAGCAAAGGGAAAGCACGTAAATGCGCGAATGTCCGAATCCTATGTGCGAGGTCTAAACACCGGTTGGAATTGTTCAAGGGCGGTCAAACGCTGCTTCCTGGGCGGTGAGGACAACATCTCCTCAACGGCTGGGCTGCGATGGACATTGCAATACTTGCAAATAACATGGAACCCAAAAAGGCGATACTCCTTAAATTGATTCTGGGTCCACGACTATCAAAAGGAAATGGAGTGCCGGGGGTCCCCCCAGGTCCTTGCTGAAAGGGTTTGCCACATTCGGAAACATGAGTTCCTTGCTTTGAGCAGGGGAGCGAATCATAGCTCTTGCTCGCAGGTGTTTTAACCGTGAGCTGGACCCCTTCAAGTTTGGTTTCCGGGTTGATATCCCTTAAGCTGCAAAACGGGTCAACTTGTGGCATGGGAGTCGTTCTGCTCACTCGACCTTTCGGCCCAGATGATCCCACCCGATTTCGTAGTTGTGCGAGGGGTGCGCCTCAACTAGTGAGACGTAGAGGCTTGGCCACTTGGATTCCTTGTCTGTAGACTCCTCTGACACGGAGCCCATAGCCATCGAAGTGCCTGAAGTGGTTGTTTGCCGCTCAGTTGTTGTTTTGTTTGATGGACAGGCATAAGGGTGAGGCTTACTTTCCGGGAATGAGAATTGTCCATTGCAGTTTTGATGGCACAAATTTGTTGCCAGCCATCCCCCTAGCTTCTTAGCTGTTTAGGCTTTTTTGTGGGGATGTCCATTTAACCCACAAAAAGTCGAAGCTTCTCGCCAGGGATCTGAGCACAGCCCCCGGCCTTTTCTGCTCCGAAGGTCATGGGCTGTGCCCAAGGCACTGCCCAAGCCAACGCGGTGCAGGCCCGCTTCAATGAGGGTCAGCTACGTCCATCCTCCCCAGAAAAGGTTAGAGGAAAGCCTCGCAAAGGAGCGTGCCTTTAGGGATACCATGGGATACCCGAGTCTGCCTGTGATTAAGGGTTAGAGGGAAGCCAGTTCTTCATTTCAAGACATAGCTAAGCGTCTGATGAAGGCTTAGGAGGAGGGAGGACCCTGTTTGGGGAACCTGAGAAAATCCCGGAGGCTTGGTCGTGTGGAGCTGGTTCCTGTCCTGTCTCCTGCGGGGATTGGTGCATGTTTGGTCGGGTAGAACCCAACGATCATTTTCCTAATTCATGCCAAAAAACCGGCATTGAAGGAAACATGTACGGACTTCCACAGAGACCCTCCCCAAAAACCTGCCCCATGGCTTTCCCAGGCCTCAACTGTTATGCTCGCAGCGCTGGAGAAACACATTGGGCGGGGGGGGGTGAAGCAAGGTCTGGACTAGATCAGGGTTAAGAGTTCCTAGAAACTCATCCAATTTGAGAAGTTGGTGAAGGGTTTCTGGAACTTATAAGTAGCGGTCAAAGTCAGCAGATGCAAGTTCCAATTTGAGAAGTTCAAGGTGACTTTGCTTCTGGTTGCCAACCTCAAGGAGCACTGGCGCTTGCTTCGCGCTTGGATGCGCAGGAAATCCCCAAGCAATTGACTCCGCAGCCACAGCGGAATCAGCAGACGCCTGAGGCGCGGGTCGTGTAGACGTGTTTGCTTCCGGCCGTTGATCGCAAATGTAGTCTTCTAGGGGACACGTCCCCATTCTTTCCAGGGATCCTTCTTCCCATAAAGCCATCAGAACACCAGGGGACGCAGCTGGCTTTTGAAAAGAACGATGGTTGAAAAGAACGGAAAAGGAATGAATCCCTAGAAGTCTAAACCACCAGACCCTGTTTCTCTTTGAAAGAAACGGAGAATCAAACGGCGGTTGAAACAGGCCTGGCCCAACCGGCCCTTCCGGCCACAGAAAAACCAGAAAGGCCGACAGGAGCTTCGACAGCCAAGCCCATGGACGTCAATAGGTTGACCCGTCATGCCAATCATAGGTTGATTTACGGCAAACCCCTTTACACACGCGCACACAGACATGCTCTTTTTCAAAGCCAAGTGTCGACCCGCTCGCAGGAGAAAGCAAAGGTCGAAGATGAGAAGTGCAAGGTGAAAATCGGCAATCGTGACGCGGCAAAAGGGGGTGAAAGGAGTCCAAGTCCTAATTGAGCTTCTTGGAACCGCTTGACATAGATACAAAGAAAATACAAGGGTTGTGGGCAAGCCTCCAAACAAAGCACCAGAGTTGCCGTGTGCAATATAGACTTTGCTCCTTATTCCTGGAACCATCGAGGGATTCCCTGCTCGTCTTCGTGGTGCGCTTTCAAGACTGCTGGGTGGCCCATTACCACGCGCTGGTTTTTTGTTGCAACGGTTGGTGCCCTTATCCACCTTTCTCGTCTGCGTGGTTGGGAAAATTTGGGGAAGTCATCCGACCCGCTTCTATGCCCGCTACCTCCAATGGGCCGCTCGATTCCCGGAGTGCGTTTGTGATCTTTTTGAACTTCAGATTTCGTGGAACACCTTTCAGGCGCGGTGCATTCCCTGCTAGCCTCTCGAGATCTCACTCTGTTTTTTGAGGGCGCCGTCGTCCGTATTTCCCACGCGCCGAACTGCCGAAAGGTCTTATTTTTGAGCCTTTCTTATTATTTTAGGCCGCTGCATTCTTTGTGATGTCTGCGGGTCAGCAGGCTGTCCTTGTGTGTGTGTGTGTGTGGCACGGATTGAGGCTTAGAGTCGTCATCACTTTTTGTCGTTTATGCCTGCAGCTGACCTACTCGTAGTAGGCTGGTGGCTCCGCTTTTAACGCCACATGCTGCACTCCGCCGTGTCGATGCAGCCATACCTCACAGGCGTGAAACCGCTTGCAGTTTCCGAATGCTCGAGGCAGGTCTTGCTAAGCCAAGGCGCTTGGGGTTTGCCGCGCTGCGTTTACTGGTTGACGGTCCGACGTTCGACCCAGTTCGGTCCGACGTTCGACGGAGTGGGGGGGGGGGGGAGTACGTAAATTGTGGTCGACGTTTGGCTGTGCAGTTCCGAGGTGTTTGAGGGGGTCCAGAGGAAAGAGTGCAATTTTCAATGGGGGGGGAAGATGGAAATGTACAGATTTCAGCCTTCTTACTTCACACTTGAACAATGTATTATTCCACAACCCTTTTGTTGGCTCAACACTATCAAATCAACAGTACACCTAGGCCCCCCCGCCTGCAGTGTACGTTTCTGCATCCCCCGGTCTCTCAGGAAATTCCTAGCATTTTTGTCCTTAAAGTTAAAGGTCGCGTGAAGCAGCTTTCGGAGAAGCCTGAATAATGTACACCTAAAGGGGGGGGGAGGTCTTATTTTTGTGTACAATGCCAGCCTCTTTGTCCAACCTGATGACCACAACGGAAATGGGCAAAATTATGCTGGACCCCCACAAATATCTAGCATGGCGGGGGGGGGGGGGAAGCGTGCCCCCCCCCCCAATTGGATTGGGTCTCGGCTAAACAGGCCTTCTAGGCCCTCCCTTTGAGGATGCGAAGTGGAGGTTGCCGAGCCTGAAGTTCTTCTGGACTTTGACTCCATGAAGCACGAGGCCGTGAACAGAAATAGATCGCCTTCCTACCCTTCCCGGGATCCGAGGAAAAACAAGTTGACTGTTTGAGGAAGAAGGTTTTTGAGGAAGAAGGTTTCTCTTCTGGCAAAAGCTTCTGAATGGCTCGATCCAACCGTTTCCCGACTCCTTGAACAAATGGTTTTCTTGGTTTGGTTTCGTTTGGTCTCCGTTTTCGGGGACCACTTTCGTACCCTGCCAGGAAGTTGGAACAGGGTTTTGATGTTCAAGAGTCATTCCTGGGTTGACATAAGCCGCGGCTATCATCCAGAATCCCTTTGGGATTGTGTTTGAAGGGACCGTAAAACTGAGCCGAAAACAAACTTGGAACAGATGGCCGGTGTGAGCCAACAACGAAAAAGGTAAAACGGCGCAAAAGAAAGGCCGGTCTTGTCTTGGAGCTTCGTCCATCTTCTTGGAGCCCTTCCTTTTAACCCGTTTCCAGGGTACCCTCCTTCGCGGACATTGGTTCCCAGGTTACCAAGGCATATTGGAGGCCCAGGCCCTAAATTTAAGCCTTTCGCGCGCAGAGGGGCCCGAAACCTCCTCCCGAAATTGGGTCGCCGATAGGTGGATGCCGCCGACTTGAGCGCCATGAAGAAAGGCCATGCCTTGCCCATGAACTTGCAGCATGGCGAACATCCCCAAACCTCGGGGTTTAGGTTTCTGTCCGGAGATCCCCCAGTGCCCGTTTACCGTTTCTTTTTTGGTTGGGAGGGTTCCCCTTCAAAAATAGACTACAGAAACAAGGGTACCCTTATTCTGTCCTCTCTACTGGAGGACCTAGCAAGCAACCTGTAGAGAAGGGGAAGGGGTGGTAAAATCTAGAGGCACTCCCTATTACCGGATTTGGGAAAGGGATTCCCCAGGAGTGCAAAACCCCCCCGAAAAAGTGAACTTGTTGGTGTTTGTGTGTGTTTTTTTTTTTTTTTAACGCGTGATTATTGCCCAGAAAGCCGGGGACGGGAAATAGGCGTTGCTGGCAGTCCATTGCTAGTTCCATGTGTTTTGTTTTATTAAACACGTCGTTGACCGATCCCTTCTGCGCCGTTGTCCATTTGGAAGGCCCATATGGAGCAGATGTTTGTTGGAGAGGAGAAGGGCCATTGTACAGTGTTTGCTTGATTTGTTTTGTGGTGGCCGTGGCGTTTGCTTGTTTGTCGGGCTTTATGCTGGTGCTTTGTGGCGTTTGACTTTGGACTTAGTTTGATTAGTGTGTATTTGTCGAAATGGGGTTGTGGTTGTGCCTTTTGACCCATGCCTAAGCCCTTGGTCCGTGGGAACAGTGAGGAGTGTTACCCCTGGCATGTTTGAAATGCGTGAAAGGATGTTGGACCCCTCTCTTCGACTGAAAACTAACAAAATCGAGCGCTCAAACTGTGCACCCTGTTTTGAGGGGAATAGGTTTAAGTCGAAAGACACGCGGTTGGTGTAGAAACCCTCTTTGAAGACACAATACCTGGGTTCCGCGAATCCTTTCACCCCCTTGATTGAAAATACAGCCGGCACTAGTGTAGAAACTCTCTGTCCGCAAAAGGTCAAAAGTTAAACGCTCCAAATTGTAGTGATGTGCCAGCATATGCTGCAAACCGGTATGCCCCATTTCCGCTAGTGGACAGAGATTGCAAGTTTACTACATGTGTTCATACATATCTTACATTGTATACATACGGTGCACAGCACCTTTGGATGATTGCACACAGAATACAGATGTTGACAGATTGAGACAGTCCTAATATTGATGAAGCAAGTAACGCCTTTTGCATGGCATCTTTGAATCAATCCGAGGTCCGCACATCACATTTTACAGGGGCGGATGGACAAGTCGCTCTGCTGCTTGGATGAAAGATTTCACCTTGTGTCGGTCTTAAACCAGTCTACGTGAGACCTGGCCAGGTCAATTTTCAAGTGACCCTTTCCTTGCCTTGCCTGACCCAACTGATAAGTCTGAAATTACACCAAATCTGCCACGCTCGCCGGCAATAAGTTTAGGCCACGTATGAGGGTGTGAGTCTTTGAGGGGTCCATTTTTCCTTGGATTCCCAGGGGGAATTGAAGCCGCTTTATTTCAGGTGTCCATTTTTTCCTGAGGCCATGCAAACCATCTCTTGAAATCGTCCGATTTGAGCGACAGTTGCTGTTGGATCAAAATAGCGAGTGCCCTGACGAAGAACAGGTTATGAGCCCAAACGAACCCGGCCATGACATTGATCATAGAGATGACCATGGCCAAGTTGACCTACAGGAGGAGGAACCTGGCCTGGAGCTGATAGGCCAAGAACTTGTGGCGAGGAGCGGCAAAGGCTCCTCGGCGAAAAAGGCGACAGAATCAGGAGCTGGAGAAGTCGTGGAGGACAGCCGGGCAGAGGAGCAGCGAGACCACCGGGGCGCAAAGGTGGCTGGGAGGGGGCGAACCCACGGTGCTAGAGCCGCTCTTCAACCAGATGGAATATGGAAGGCCCGGAAGGGTGGCTCATCCATCAAACAAGCCCAGATCAGCAGCTGCAGTGAGGGCGAATGCGAGAGGACGGTTGGACTCCAGCGCGACTACCTGGAGAGAAGTTTGAAGACCTCGCGACCATCGAGGTAGAGTTGGCTGGCGGGGAGGTGGGGAATGAGCATGGTGACGGTGGAGTGATTGTCCACGAGGAGTCGAACATAGATTTGATGATTCCGCTGGATGCGGAGAACTGAAGATCACCATCATAGACAACTGCCGGCCGTAAAGTCGCCTTGAGGCTGCAAAGTGAGGAGGCTGGTGGAGGTGGAGACGTTACGCAGGCTTTGAGCACCCATTCTTTTGGAGGAAATGAGGATTGCCTTCAACAGGCACTGGTGCGTCTCTATGCTGGGGAAAATGAGGGTCACATGCTCGCCAGGGAGACGGTGCAGATTGGTGTTGGGAAGGAGGGCTGGACCTGAAGAGGGGGGGGCATGACAATGGCGGAGCCCTTCAGCATGCATGACATGACCGAGGAGGAGAAGCAAATTGTTCTGGAAGACGACATCTTGATGTTCAAGATGATCATGACCTACTTAGTGGAGGAGGCGGCAAAGCGGAAGGGGAAGCGACACTTAACGGTTCTGGTTCTCGGCGCACATGCCGAGTTGCTGCTCCTGGAGGACGGAACAATGGAGGAGAGTCTGCAAGAGTGGACCTTCTGGCAGGGAGACTGCGGTCGTAGAGAAACTTGGTGGCGAGGTGGCAGAGCACCCGGGGGTTGAAGGCTGTCGAAAGTACTCGAAAGCCTGGCGCGCACATCAAAGACAAGGAAGCCAGGTTTCGCAACCCGCCGGAAAGATTGCCTTACGTGCAATGAGGCAAGAGCGAACGACAGACCACACCGCCCGGCGGATTGGATGTGGGCAATCGGCGGCGCAAGTACATGCTGGTAGGACGCTGAAATTGACTGCAAGGCTGCCGGATTCGTGTGGGATGGAAAAACGTTGGCCCGGCTGCACAAGTCCCACCAGAAAACGGGCTTCTTACCGTCACCGAGACGACTGCCCAGCGCCGCTGGACGGCTGAAGAGCAAGAGAATCACGATAGCCCAGGTGGACAGAGACCGGGAGGAGGAAAATGGTCACTGCATCAGCCTAGCGGTCTGTGTGGACGACATGATCCTCGGAGAAGGTTGGAAGAAGCAAGAAGACGTGGGAGACCTGGGAGCATAGGTTCGGAGACACTCAGGCAGCAATCACCTTGCGCAAGGAACCGAGCGGGTGGTAGCTGGAGAACGAGACCTACTCGCGTTCTTCTTGAGATGGAGGAAGCAGAAGGACGACTGGCGAGTGAAGCACGTCATGGGTAGAATTTTAGGAGGAGTGTGAACGACAGCTGTTTTTGGATCAAAGCAGGCTGAACCCTCAAAGCTAGGTGTGGCCCGAAGGGTCATAGATCGACCTGTAAGAGACACAGTCAAAGTCTGTGGCCCTTTGCGTGACACGTGTGACAGGAATGCCCGCGGCGTTGCGGTTTATCCAGAGACCGACCCCGAGACGGATCCCGGCAATGCGTCTTACGTTGCTTGGGACCAGCGAGTTTTGCTGAAGGGGGCCAAAGTCGGACCGGCAGCTCCAAGGTTCCCACAGCTCCTCAAGCCCAACGTGCGTCGCAAAGAACAGGGATTCAAAAACCGTTAAAGGGGGGGCCTTCCTGTTCGGACCAAGTTCCAACATAGAGGGTTCTTCGTTGGATGAAAAAGGGGAAACCAAGGCAACCGAAATCTGCTAGCTGCCCAACCTTAGAACCATCTCTGCGCTGTTTGCATCCAGGCCAGGAGCGGACTGCGCAAACCATTTCGCCCAACCGGAGTTGTTTTCGAGGCGAACTGACCGCCGACCCCGCGAAGTTGAAAAAGGCCGTGAAGCAGCGTCGCCTGCAGCACGAGGACCCTGCTGATGGCATGGCTTGTGTGAAGACATGTTCAAACACATGTACGCATCCTTTTTTGATCTTGTTGTGAAATTAAGATAAGCGCGCCACTGTGTGGAGTTCTTGCGTGTTTTGCATTGCCCGCACGGCCGCCCTGCTCGACTTCCTCAACCTCATTCGCCTCCCGCGCTCGCTCGCTCGCTCACTCACTCACTCACTCACTCACTCACTCACAATTTGCCCAAGAAGAGCCGGGTTTGCCATTGCCCCTCCTTTTGTGAGGATGCGCAGCTCACAGTTCGACTGCCCTATTTTGGTTGAATAACTTCAAAATTCAGCAATGAAGTGCAGTTCAGTGGTTGGGGTGTGTGTTTGTGTGCGTGTGTTGGGGACCCTGTTTTTGCCACCCCCCACGTTTTTTTGCAGCCCATAGCCGTAAACCCGAAGGTGACACGGAGGTCAAAAAGGCAAACAACACAAACAATTGTTTGGAAAATTGCGCAATCATGGCGAAGAGAAGCAATCACCACGGATCCAGAGTGCTGGGCAGTGCACGCCAAAAGCAGACCGCATATTCAGCGCTGTATACGGGTAGACGTCTACTTGTGCACTTTAGCAGTCTTTGCACAAGGGGACTTTGCGCAAATCCCTAGGGCACATTCAAAAGCAATCTTGCGAGGTCTTGGTATAGAGATCCTGAATCGAGAGTTCCTGCGCAACACTTTCGCAGGCGTCCGAGATGCGCAGGATCTCCAAGCACGGTCTTTGTTTGCACGAGGTCTCCGGAAAATATTCACAGGGTTTCTCCGCAAGATCGTTTGAGGATCTTGGCAGGACCTCCCTGCATAAAGCCGCGGAACAGGATCAAGATCTTGCACCGTGCCCTCCATCTTCACGGGATGTTCATGTCACGACCCTTTTTCGCAGGATCTCTGCAAGAGGAGCTCTATAGGTCCTGCGTTCCTCTCACGCGCTGTGTGTAGAGGGTCAAACCGAGCGCGGGGCGACTATGGCGATCAAAGACAATCAAAAGTCGACAGAAGTGCAAAGGGCTCCCGTTGCAGCATAGCGAGATCGATTGAGCACACCAAAATGCGCAGAGGGTTAGCTTCGTATTCAAATTTTGTGCACCTGGCCGATGCGAGAGGGCACCCTCAAAGAACACACCGGGTGCGAGGGCGCGTTTGCATCGCGAACTTGGTGCTAGCCGACTGGAAATTGGTTTGGGATTGGTACCCTGGCAGGACATTGCTGCCTTCAAATCACAAGCTTCAGAAGCCTCGGCAAAGACATCGGAATCTTGCAAGTCGTCCACGAGTCTTGGAGAAATAGTTCCTTTAGTTGTGTAGCCCCTTTGGTCTCCCGTTGACCTCCAAGCCTTGGCCCCACAAAGAGGCACATGCCAACACGTGTCAACTCTGGGACCCAAAATGTTGGTGCCGAATCTCGCACTAAGGAGACGGCAGGCAATTTGAGCAGGACAGCGCAGCTTTAGAGTGTCCACACTTGCCCGCCACGGTCTGACTTGTAGCAGTCGTGGCGGGATTTTCCCAGTTTTTGCGCTTAGAAAATAGCCTTCCAGTAGATAGTTCATTTAGGGTCGAAAGGGCCTTGCACAAACTTCAATTGCCTGACATCCAAACAGCTTTTTGCTTGACACGGAAAAAATGATGTCACATTCCTGAAATGGTTCGCCCTCTTGGCCACTTCTCGACGTGTGCAAGGCCCGTTGGTTCGCACATGCCCCATCGACCTTGAACCTTTTGCCGCAGCCGGCAGTGGCCCTTTTCTTGCAGGCGTGGCTTTTCTCGTTTGCTTTCTGACAGCTTTGACAATGCTGTGTGGTTGTATGAGGAACAGCAAATCCACGCTGCGCACTGTAGATCTGGGATGTGGACTCCTATCTTCCAGACTTCGGAGGAGGACAAATACTTACAATATTGTTTATACAGTATCTATATAATAGTCTATATATATATATATTGTGTGTACGTGCAAGAGCGCACTTGGCAAAAGAACCCGAGGTCTGAGAATCAAATCCGACAATCCGATAATTCGAGAACCCGAGAATCCGAGAACGAGAGATGGAGAACCAGTAACAACAAAAAATATGTGTAGATCTCGGGTTCTTGGATTCTCGGGTTCTCACATTTTCGGATTTGGTTTGTTGTTTTTTGTGTATGGTTAGTTTTATATCGTTGTTAGCTATATGGTATTGGCTCGAAAACGGCGGGTTTAAGTGAATTATAGAGTAAAATAATGTATATATCGAGGATTGTGTTTGGGTGGGGATGAGTGGGGATGGATGGGGTGTGACAGAAATATTAGGTGTAGAGAAATGTTGGGTTAATGGATGAACATTGAAATTAATGTTTGAGATTGAATGATTAATAAATAAAACATGATTTATGTTGAAGGTATCTTTTATTAGGTGTATATTATTATTATGTTTATATTTGAATAATACTTTGAAAAACATGAAATAATGAATTAGTTTAATGAAACAAATAAGGTTGACATTTATATATTTTTGTTTTAAAGAAGAAACAATGTATATTATATAAATTGATATTGGGTATGAGATTGAGGTGTTATAATGTTTTTAGTGTTTAGGATTCTAGAGCGGAGATATATTGTAAAATAAATTTGTGACTAGTATTTGGTTTGGATACATATGGTTGTGTGTTTTTGTTGTTTTGGGAGTAAATTGTTTGGTTATTTGTGGTGTTGAATTATGGGTTGATTAGGTTTTAAAAATAAAACATAAAAATATTCGATTTTTTTAAGTTATAGGTTGAATTGCCGATTATATGATATTGGATTATATTCTTTTATATTAGTATGTTTTAGTTATTGGAAATAAGGTTGTTATTAGGGCTCGATATTTTATGATGATTATGGAATGATATGAATAATTGAAAATATTATATATTGTTTAATAATATGAATTAATTTATGGTTATAGTTTTTTATCTTATAACATTTAATAACTATTTTAATTAAAAAGGATTTTTTAATAAATAAATATAAACATATATATTTATATAATATATTATCATAATAAATAAGAATATATATGTTCTCTATAAAATGAAACCGTGAAACTTGCTTATCGCACTTGCGTGCATTTTCACGGATCGGTTTTCCGAAAAATCTTGGATATTTCGGAAAATTGGTCCGGGTTACTTTTGGAAGATGTAACCGCTTCATATTTCGTATGGGTCGCTTACTTAAATTTGTCTGGGTTACCTCGGCCATAAGCCGGAAGATGTAGTGGCTTCATTTGTTATAGGGACTAGTTTCCCGAAATATTCTATTTTGGGAAAATCGTAGTTATCCCCCATTTTCTCGAAAATTCCGAATATTTCGGGAATTATTTTCCCGAAATATTCGAAAAATGGTTTGGAGTATAATTATCCAAATATCTAGGATATTTCGGAAAAATGGTCCGGGCTTTGAACGAAGCCGTTGTGTCTTCTAGATAAAGAGTCGGGCCTATATCTGTTTGTTCGTAGCAATTTTGGCTGAGATTTTGGCCCATCTTCCGCGAGTTTGGTGATGCGAGAAGTTATGGGCCGCGGCCGATTGTTGCGACCAGTGGTGTGTTTCGCAATGTTTTGGGCGAATTCAGTTCGGTATTGCTTGCACCCAGGATGTTTTCTGATCGATCGCGTTTTCGCTTGCGCTTGCAACAACTGCGTGTGTGGATGGATCTTTTGAGGCCAACAGCCCGTGGATCCGTTCTTACCTTGCTCAGACGACCGCCTTTCACTGACTCTTTGGCATAACCTTTTCGCGACCAGCCCGGCCCTCAGTGCGTCTCGCGACATGTGTTTAGAAAACGGCAGTATGTTTTTCGCATGCGACGAGTATGCATTTTTTGATATATATATATATAATGATAGAATATGTTGGTGCCTGAGTTGCAAAAAATGTCATGCCAGCGCGGGGCAGGCTCTATAAGATTTATTCTGTTCTTGCACCCACTATGATCTGGACCTTGGGCCCTGAGAGCTCGGCCCTTTCTTGGCACCCGCTTCAACTCACCCTTGATTGTTGGTTTGGATTGGTGGTTTGCGGATTGAATCCCTAGATTATGTTGAAATTGAATGCCTTAACCTCCAAAACACCAATCCAAACTACCAATCCAAACCGGGCCGGTAGCAACCCGGGGGTGCCCAGTCCAAAGAGGGCCGCCGAACACCTGCAACCACCTCCTGGCCACGGGGCAGAACGCAGCCGTCGAGGAGGGCAAAGAGAGCGGCGGGGCAGCGCCGAGACAAGCGCATGACAAACCGTTTCCCATTAGCTCGCTCCACTGGGCGAAGGCGCCAGGGGACAAGCGGCCAGCGGCCGCACGCAACTGGGGCACGCGCAGCCGAGAGCTCGCACGCGCGTTCTTGCAGCCCGTCTGCATCACGGTTCTCGGGCTCGGAATCGGACGCGTGCACGCGCGCAGGGCGCGCTGCGCGCCGGAGCAGGGCGCGCTGCGCGCCGGAGGTGTGTCTTTTTTTGGTCTTTGTCTCTCTGTCGGTGTCTGTCTCTGTCGTTTTTGGTCTGTTGGTCTCTCTGTCTTTGGTATCTGTTTCTTTCTTTGTCTGTCTGTCTGTTTGTGTTTGTCTGTATGTGTTTGTGTCTGTTTGTGTCTGTCTGTGTTTGTTTGTGTCTGTGTCTGTGTCTGTCTGTTTGTGTTTGTTTGTGTCTGTTTGTGTTTGTTTGTCTGTTTGTGTTTGTTTATGTTTGTTTGTGTGTGTTTGTGTGTTTGTATTTGTGTGTGTGTGTTTGTGTGTTTGTGTGTTTGTGTGTTTGTGTGTTTGTGCGTTTGTGTGTTTGTGTGTTTGTGTTTAGTTTTGTTTTTTATTTTAATTTTGTTTTTGTTTGTATTTTTATTTTTGGTTTTGTTTATTTATTTATGTATTTATTTGAGGTTAATAATATATAGGTTAATTTTTATGAGTTTATGAAATTTAGTTGATTATTTTATAGGTTTATATATTATAAATTTATATAATTTATAAAAGATTTAAGAAACTAGATTATGGTTGACCCGAAAGAAAGTTGGTCTTTGTAAGTGGTTTTTTGTAAATTGCTTTGTGTAAATTACGTTCTTTGTAAATTGCTTTGTGTAAAATGTTTTGTGTAAAATTGTTTTGTGTAAGTTATTTTGTGTAAGTTGCTTTGCGTAAATTGTTTTGGGACCCGTCGGTTTTGGGAATAGACGTGCGAATCACGAGATAATTCCCGAGGACTAGTTCGAATAACAAAAACCGTAAAAAAAACCATGGGTTTCACTACGCCGATCTCCATAGAGGGTTATATGGGAATTTTAGAAATCGCAAAAAACCATGGGTTTTTGCAAAAAACTATTGTAGAGGGTCGATTTTTGTGTAGTGTTGTCGGCATTACCCCGCCGCCCTAAGAAGAGAATCGCAAATTAATTGCGCTTGATTCCTTGCACTTGCAACTTGCACTTGACTTCGTGCATTTGCAACTTGCACTTACAATGACTCCTATTTCTTGTAATGATTCCTTGCAATGACTCCTTGCAATGATTCCTTACAATGACTCCTTGCAATGACTCCTCCTTGCAGTGATTTTCATGATGATGATTCCTTGCAATGACATTTTATAATGATTCTGATGAGAATAATTCAAGTAAACCTAGCGGAAGAATCCTTCGCCATATTTTCGGGAAAAGATTTAAAATATTATAGTTTTATATTTATTTAATTTAATATAATAGGTATTCGAAATTTTATATATTTTTATATAATGATAATGTTGATTCTATATTTTTATAAATAATACAATATATTGAAAAAATATTTAATAAATATTTTTAGTTTGATTTACATAAATAATTTTATTTTAATAGGGATTTATTATTATAAAAAAATAATAAAAATAGAGTATAAAATAAAATAAAAAAAAGAGAGAAATATATATAATTATACTCGTAGAGACAGAAATAGGTAGACCGAGCAAATGTTAACCAAAGCGGTGTTGGAATATTTCGAGAAAATTAATAATTATGATTTTGAATTTTTATTTTGGATTCTACCCAGACAAACCATTTCGAAAGCTTTATTGATTTGGAGACCCAATTCTGGAAACCTAAATATCTAAAAATGAATTATAAATAGAATTTCTCGGCAACACCTTAATATACTTCCTAAAGCCTTGCGATGCACAAAGTAACAACGTGTCTCAGGTGCCCGATACCAGTATATAAACATATGGTCAGTGAAAAATGGTCGCCTAAAGATTCATGGATTATTAGCCTCAGAAAAATGTTATTAATCATAATAATCGTTATTCAGATCATCATTTTTTTGCAAAACGGTCACAATACAATGAAAATAATAATGGAATCTTTAAATAAATTATTTTTCCAATCTCCTAAAAAATACCTTTGATATAAATCTTCCTTCCATAAAACATCATACCAATGCGGTTTCGATCAACCAAAAAGACTATATATTCGAATCTCAAAAATTAGTCGAAATCGGCCAGCTTATTAACCCAATTCTTATTATTTTTTTAATACCCCTTTTTTAAGGCTAAATCAAAAAAAACACCTCAAAAATAAAAATTCCGATTCCAAATTAAAACAAACCATTCCACTCCTCTAAAAGA